TGAGCTGTATTTCTCCCATGAAGCCTTTGAGCAGTGAACTCCTTACAGCTTTTACAAGTCCAGGTTCTGCTGTACCCAATGTATAACAGTATCTCGATACCTTTTATGTGCTTTAGATTCCTGTGATTTAAATTCTGTAAAGATTATATCGAGAAAAACTCCTTAACCTGTACTTAACTTTCAGCACATAAACGCTCCTGTTGATCCCCGCCTAATGAATTTCCTGCTTGTTTGAAAAACATGTGGGTTCTACTAGTCCACAGCTAGAATTTCAAGTTGCTCCATACTTCAGTAAAAGCGTAGGGAAAATGGGGAAAGTAGTAGAAAAGGAGCTCTGTCAAAAACAAACAAATCACAAAAGCCCTCTTTTTTAAAAATGAAAAGCAAAGCATTGTTTTGAGTAATTGGAACAAGATTTTCAAGAAAGGCGAATACTTATTTGATGACAATTATTTTATCAATAGAAACAGTTTAGCAAAATCATTCATGGTTTCTGAAATTCCTGTCTAAGGTCTCTGGAGAATTTCCTGGAAGGGATCAAGGCTACCAGAGGCTGTCCATTTTTTTGCTGAGTGCTCCTAAGGCGTAAGACAAAGGAGGATCTCTTGCATTGCTATCCCTGCTGCTCTCGGTCCTAAAGGAGTACAGTTTTCTATTTATTTGCTTGCACAACACCGAGTGTGTTCCTATCAGCAAAATCTGCTTTCACTTATCCTTTCAATTTAGTGAATGCAAGATTAGGGTGTGCTGTCTTAATGTCTAACTAGAAACAATATCTCTTTCAGTGGCTTGAAAATGAAATGTTTATGAAAGAATTAATATAAGATGTAGTTTTTACATACATCAAAATTAATTGCGAGTTGCCAGTAGAATATGCATATTATACTGCATCAAAGATCTTTACAAAGTAGCCCATGCCCTGCATCCAATAACTCTCCAAGCAAAAAGAGTCCTAAGAGAAGCATATGAAGACTGGAAAGAAACTCACCACAGTTATGCCATCATTCAGCAATGATTCTCCAAAAATCATCATGTGAAGCTGCTCATTAACAGAAGCTTCTTCAAAAACTTCCAGAGCTGCTACAGGATCCACAGCTGAGATCATGCTGCCAAAGAGCAGGTTCTGCAGCAGGTTCAGGTCAGTCAGACCAAAGACTTCAATCTGGCAAATGCCATAGAGGGAGAGGCCAATCCCAAATGAGTTCAGCAGAGATCCTAGCACGGACCACCACAAGATGGACCCAAGGTTTTCAAAGAATGGACGAGTTGGCATGAAATAACCCTCTTCCAGCACAATGGGTGGAAGGAGATACAAGAAGTAAATACTTGTGTTCATCACCGGTGGGGATTTGTGGTCAGTACCAAAGATGATCGCTCCAACTAGTGCTCCAATGGCAATCAGGATGCAGCTTTCAGGCATGAGTCTTGGTAATCGGTGATAGAGATGGAAACCTTTAATAAAACATTTAAGTTAGCCTGAAGTCAGATATGTTTTGCCTGCCTTCAAACACTTAGTCTTCATATTGTCAGGTTCTAGTTTTAATATTACAAAAGTAAATGCACAAGTAGCACCATTCCCTTCAAAATGAAACAATCCTGGGTTTGGGCTGACCAGGAACCTGGATAAGCCCAAGGGAGCAGGGAGCAAGCAGCACAGATGCTAAGGTCTGCCCATCTCCTTCCACTTCCAGAAACATCTTGAATAATTTCCCAGACTCCAGATGAGCCACAGGCTGAGCAAGTGAATACTCATGAACACCACAAAATACAAAGCGGCTTCGTTATCACCAGGAATCAAGGCATGGCCACATAATGCTTTGTACAAGCTGACTAACCTTGCTTTTCTGGGAGTTCTAGTTTCTATGAAAGGTAAACAGTGCTCTGTAAAGAACTTTATGAGCTAGTTTCGTGGAAAAAAAAAAAAAAAAGAAAAAAAAAAAAACAAAACAACAACACTGGTTTCAGCTGAGTTGAAAGAGCTATTGACATCAAATAATAGAAAACAATGCATCCTGGGAAGGTTTTCTCCTTGCTAAAAATAAAGGTTCAGTCTACACTACCAAATGAAGCAGTCCAAAGAGATTTCCCATCAGGAAGGTTCAGCTTACATCCAGACAGCCAGATGCTCTTCTCTGCCCCAGAAAACAAACAGACATATCTGATCTGCCTGCAAGAACAGACCCTGACCCATAGGTTGCCTGGACACTGCCTGGGAGGAGGCTGTTGGACAGAGGCAGAAGTTCAGAAAGAGTTCATCTGCACTGATGCAACATGGATAGTTGGGCACAGCTTGCTGCCACAGTGTGCCTTCCCTTTAAAATATAGATGCAGCCAGGACATTTTAGAGAGAAAGAGCTACATTTAACTTATAAATGTTATGGGTATGGATCTCTTCCAACCTACCTTGATGCCCTGCTACTGTGGGTTTATGTAATTCTGCACATTTGACATGAGTATTGGTACCAACACTGAGATAGTATCTAATAATGCCTCATTCAGTTGCTGTATTAGGGATTGTATAATTAGTCATATTGTGAATAAGAGATGCCTTATCTCAAAATGTAAGGAATTGTTCAGAGTTTACATGAATGAGAATGAGACAAAGACAGTCATAAATGGTCATCTAGCTCTAGGTATCTCTGTTGAATGGTGGTTGGACCAGATGGCCTCCTGAGGTACCCTCCAACCTCAGCCATTCTGTGCTTCTGTGTGCAATCCAATGGGCCTGTTTTCATACTTAAAGCAAGATGAAATTTCATCTCATAACTTTAGCAGCCAATGACAAGTTTGCATTTTTGTGATGCGTGAATTATTCATGTTCAAAAGCAAAAGAAACAAAAACACGTTTTTCTGAAATTTAATATTATTTATTTGGGAAATATACTTATTTTTACCATAAAGTATGCTATGATCATAACACTACTATCGCATTTTAATTATTTTGATTAAAAATAAATTTAATTAATTTTAATTTCATTTTTAAATCATGTTCAAGACTTCTATCAGTTTTATCAAATAAAGGGATTCTTCTTCCCATTCTTCTGCCCATTCTATAGGAGTGCCTGAAAATCCCACTGAACTTCAAAAGAGCAGGGAAATCACTTATGTGTAGCTCTTCATTACTGCAATCATCTTCATTTATTTCATATTTCTGCTTTAGTTCCAAAAAGCCAAAATCAACTTAAGTCCAGTCATATAGATGCATAAGACACAGGGTGAGCATTTTTTTCTTTATTAATTACAGTCCCTATTTCTCCAAGAGTTGTCTCTCTTCTTTCAGATATGTACACTGAGCCCCAGGAGAAGCTAGATGTATTGAAGTACATTCTATAGGCATTTATGCTGCTTTTCCTATGACCAGTATCCGTTCAGGCTTCACCACCCTCCTCTGATGTTGCTTTCTGAGCAACATTAATCAACAAACATTTAAAACAAAAGTTTATAGGAAATTGCTTTCTATTATTCACATGACAGAAGGGTTCTTACTTTCCTCTTTCCCAAAGTAAGTACTGCTGAGGTTTCAGTCAGCTGTTTTCCTTATTTCTACAGCTGTGTCAGATTGTATAGTCTTGTGATATTTAATATTCATTGCAAGATATTTAAATATTAGAACAAAGGATTGGACAGCAGTGTGAGGAGGACATCCATTACTACACATTAGCATAGACAGCCCAAGAGAAATGAGAGTTAGAAATCATATACTTATTTCAATAATTTGAAAGCATTAAGAGGTGAAAGTTTGTCATTGTCATAATAATGACCTATTCTTTCCAGGATAGTACAGAAAAACAATCCCTAGCACAAAAGCATATGCAAGATACTTGGTTACATGGTATGTTTTTAATTCTTACCAATAAAGGAGGATCCAAAATACCATTTCCACTTACCTATTTTTGCAAGAGAGGCAAGAAGTATCCAAAGAGTGACTTCATATGGAATCTGCACATTGTTGTAGTCCACTGTGAAAACCTGCAGCCTCTTATTTTGTGAAGAGTCAACAGCATCAGCACGATCATGTTCATAGTGAGGCAACAAACTACTACCCAGGCTAGGCTCATCCAAATAAGCAGCAGCAGAAGGGCATGCCAGAGTCAACAGTGACAGCAAGTAACTCAGCATCTTCATATGTTCAAAGGCAGGAGAGCCCATGTTGAGGACTGTGGCTATCTGTTATAGAGCATATAGTGGGGTGCAAGAAAGCACACAACACTCACACCTGTTAATTCCCACTGCTCATAGCCACAGTCATTTCTTTCTCACTACTTCAGTTTCTTATTAGAGGCCCTTTTAAAAGCCCTAACGTACCTGCACTGCTCCTCGTATTACAGATGAAGCTGAAGTTTATATGAAGATACCAGTTCTGCAGGTTCCTCAGACCCAGATAAACCCCAGACACAGCATCACTCTGCTGAAAAGTAACGAGCTTTCTGGACACATTATTTTTCCAGCCTCTTTGATATTTTTCCCACTAATAACTATAAAAATCACCGATGTGCACTGTTCAGGCAGTAAGGGTAGCATAGGAAAACAGTATCAGATGGGCAGGACAGGCTCCATGCCTTCTTCTGCTTCCTTCAGTCCCTGTCTGCCTCCCTAGAGCAGCTGCACTGCAGGTACCACTCTTGGCACTGCTCCCTGCTTCTGTCTCACCTTGTAACAAAACCACTCGGTGTGCAAATAAACGTGATCGACAGGATTTGCAGTTGGGACATCTGGTGGAGGGCCACGCAAATTACATTCTCCTTTAGAAACTTGTTACCTCTTTTAAAGGCATGTATTTCACTTGGCACATAATAACAAACGTTATTAAAAAATAAAAATAAAATAAAAAAAAAAATGGATAGTTATCTCAGCTGATCTGATTTGACCACTTGGAGTCCAAAAGAAGACAACAAAAGAAGATTTTCTTCTGAACAGGAACCACTGCATTTTGCTTAGGTATAGCCATACACACAGATTGCAAGTTGCTTTGAGTGGTATGTGGTATGAACCTTGGCAGAGGTCTTCAAGAAAAAAACAGATGTTTCAGAGCCCTTGGAAACCCACTAGCTGTGAAAATCATGGGATTTAGTGCCATGATGTTCAGCAGTTTTGGTAGAACGCATGAGTGACCCTTGCCGCATGGGATCAGCAGAATGCAAATTGTTTCTGAGTGCAAAATGTGTCAGAGCTGGTAGAAATGCCTTATCCCACTTCATGAAGGATAGTAGTTCCTGGGATCAGCCCTGACACAGCATTCCTCCCTGTCTCAAACCCTTCAGCATACCTAGATGTGGGAGCATCCTAGAGCTTTCATCCTTGGTATTCTCCAAGAAAGAGGTAACTCACATATAGAGCTTGGATTTGTCCTGCAGAACTGCGCAGAAAATTAAACTACAAGATTTCTCAGTTCTTTTTTTACTCTTTTTTTTAGGGAAAAAAAAAGTATGAAAATGCTTCAACAGAAAAACAATGGAAAGAGAAGAACATTTGCATGTCTTAACATCATTGCAAAACAACATAATAAATATCCTAATAATAACTTACTAAAGATAGCTTACATATACATGTGTGAGAAGTGCCACATAGTTTTGCTGTGTGCATGTTTGCACTGCAGCCCTTCTCAGAGTTCTAGAGTGAGATATTGCTGGCTCAAGTGACAGTCCAGAGTAGTCTGCTGATGTAAAAAAAAAAAAAAAAAAAAAAAAAAAGTTTAAATCCATTAACTCCTGAGATAGCAGTCATTCCTCTGTGAAATTTATGCTATCGATGTACCAGGCTGAATAACCTTTGGAAAAAGCCCTTTAGGCTGCAATTTCGCAACACCTTAGTGGTATTCACGGGCATGTGGTAGTGCATGTATTTCCAGAACTTTTTGTTTGGAGCAGTAGAAATAGAAGGCTTCCAGGTAATGACTGGTAAAATCCGAAGAGCCTTCTTAACTACTGGAGGCAAGGTCTCTGGCTCCTGGAAAGCTTGGAACTTTATTAAAACCAATTTGATCTTTTTGTCTTCCAGTGCACAGTTCACTGCTGCCTGCAGTTCAAAGATGTTTGGTCCGCTGACATAGGCTGGGCTCAGAATAATGATTGTTCTTCTACTTTGTTTAATAGCTGTAACAACTTCATCTGTGTATGCTGGAGAAGAAATTACAATTGTTATTGCAAAGTGTATTGGACTTTTTATCCAAATCAGTTCATTTAAGAATGGATAATCACCAGAAATACAGAAAACCAGAAATAGAAGTGCTGAGCAACCACATTAACCTTAAAACTGTTCATGATCAGAGGGTACCTCTGCCATTTTTATGTAACTTTGAGAACATAACTGGATGCTCAAAAGGTGGAGGGCACAGCTGAGATCACAACCACAGCACGTTCAAGCAAGTTATCAAGGGACACTTGGATTTGTCTGTCTCTCCCAGGGAGAGGTACTCAGGACTTCCAGTTATTGCTAGTGGCACTGACCAAGGTGAGTCAGAAAGTAACTAATGAAAAATTCAGGGTATTCATTTTTCAGAATGGAGTCTGCCTGTGAATAAATTCTTGGATGAGAAGCTTTGTCTCAGCCAAGTACCTCATAGAATGGAAAGGAAAGGAATGGAATGGGTTGAAAAGGATCATAATGACTATCTAGTTTCAAATCCCCTGCTATGTGCAGGGTTGCCAATTACTAGATCAGGCTGCCCAGAGCCTCCTCAACAACCACACTCAAATATACACATTCCTTGGTTGCAGAGACCACGTAAAAAGACCAAACATGGCAAGATATGAGCAGAAACTCCTGTGCCAAAACATACCATTTGTTGAACTAGTGCATAAGGTTTTTAGGAAAGAAAATAATGTTACAAGGAACTGAAGACTTTCTACCAACCACAGGAACCTTACCTCCTCCTGGAAGAATATCTCTTTCAAGAATGCATAACTTGTATCCGTATTTGTTTTCAAGCATGTCTGGAAGGATCTCCAGGGCAAATTTTTCCTCACTAATAAAAGCAGAGTTACTTTCAGAAGAGTCTGTTTTTGCATAGGATACAAAGGCATCAAATTCTTTGCCATCTAAAAGAAATAAATATACATATATAAGTAACACAGCATACATTAACAGGTGTCTGAAGTATTCAGCTTCTTACTTAATGCAATATTTCCATTTATGTTCTATATATTTGCTACCTATTTAAGCAGACCCAACACAAACTGAAACTTATAAAGCAGTCATGAAGAACAGCAGTTCAGTTACACAAAACTAAGCTTGTCTCTCCATTTTCTTCTCTGTAGACATATGCTACCAAAGTAAATGAGGACATTGCAGATGACCAATGCAAGAAAGTTTAAATTAGGCACTTTTTTTTATTTTTTTTTTATTTTTTTTTTTTTTATTTTTACATCTATGTGCCAATTTTAACCAGTGGGAGATCTGGCACCTCCCAGGAACATTCTATGCTCTAGGAAATGATTCCCAACCTTTTCTGTCATTCACCCAAATGCTGAGTCCAAAGATAGTCACAAATGCACAATCTGCTTTATAAATATAGTGCATTTTACTTTAAAAAGCTGGGAGGAACAACGTCCCTGGATGTCAGCTGTTGTGAAAGATGTACTCTTTTCATACACTGCTATTTCTAATCAGAGAGAAGGGCGGAAGTGGCAAAGATTAAATCTGTTTCAAATATGAGCTCAGAAACAGAGTACTATCCAGCTCCTGAACTTTGCTCCAGTCGCATTTAAAGAATGTTTGCAAAGTGCTACTGCTGAATATGTAAAGAACTCTCAGCTCTGAAACATTCTGGTACTAATGCCCCAGATTTTACCCATTCCTATCAACAAAACAAAAGAAACCTATTTGCTAAATGAAATTTGAGCTGCACTTGAGGGAAGATGAAAGAGAACGTAAGAAATTGCTCATGATGCAAAAGGCACATTGATCTCAGTGCAATATGAATATGAATGCTCCTAATTCCATTTGAGATGCCCTGAGGTTGGTTGACGAGATTGCCAAATTTTACCTAGGCGCTATTGGAGACCCAAATATTTTGGAATAGTAGGATATTCTCAGGCAAGTCAAATGACAGCAGATATCTTTATTTGATCAGTTGATTCATATTCCATGTCAGTATAGTCAAGAGGAACCATAAAGTAATTCAGCTGTTCAGCATGGGGTGTTTCTGCAGAATGAGCTGAAAAGCTCTCTAGATTTCACCATGTTGATCTCATTTCACAGAACGGGAACTGAGACATCTAATCCCTGCACAGTCACATAGGTAATAGCATTGAATCTTATCTCTCCATGCTAACACTGTGATTTCTAACCCTAGATGTTAGATTAGGATCATAAGGATCAGAAGAAATCATATGGAACCCTGGGAGCAAAGGAAATGCATGTGGAAAATTAATGACCCGCATGAGTTGGGGTTGAACAACTACATTCATAACTAGCAGATAACAGAAAGTATATTATCAAAAGAAAACATGGGCGTGAAAATTGGAAAATTCAGCTTAGAGGCTGAGACTATCCCCAGTGCTCCTGGCCATACACTTCTGCCATTTCCTTGTAAGAGTGTTGAAACTCTTGTGGTAACAGAAGTTCATACCTCAGAACTAGCTCCCTAGTTATCTATTACCTTCTGCTGGGCTAATTTACTGCTAACTTGAGCCAATCTAGGCCCAAAAGAGTGAATCAGCAACAGCAAACACACATGGCTTGGAGGTGGGGCGCTGGATCACTAGACTGGTTTAGCTGAAATGTCCAGCTACACCCTGATCTAAAGATCCTTTGAACGCCACTTTTAAATGACAATAAATTCTTTGCAAAACAAGCCAGATATTTTCCTCATTTCACCCATAGAGGTCACTGCAATCTTATTAGACAACCACCATTGATAAACACATCATGGTTTTTGTTGTTGTTGTTGCTTTTCTTTTTAGCATCACTACTGCAAAAACAATGTAAAAAATGCATACACAGTTAGCACAATTAGGATATTTTTTCCAGAACAGTACAGGAGAGTTTCTCAGTGCAGCCTGAGAAACTTCTGGGACATATATTTCAGATGCTCAAAATGTTGGAAATGATGTTAGTTAAGGAAAGTTACTGTAAAATTTGTCTATAAATGTTAATTCCCCAGCTTCTTCACTGTTTCTTTCTCCCTGTGGGAGAGGCAAGATTTTTAAGAAGTATATCTTAATTAGCTATGGAGGAAGATCAAGGGCTAGAAAGGTGTGAGATAACGAATGAGCTTACTGCTGTTTTTAGCTAACTATTGAATGGGTACAGAGATGATGGAGAGAGATTTCTCTGAGGCCTAGAGCGATAGCAGAGAAGGCTACAAATACAAGCAGCAATAATTAAAATCCCCATTAGAAGTTAGTAAAAAAAATTATCACTGCAAAAATGGTCAAGCACTGGAACAGGTTGTTCTGAGATGTTGTGAATTGTCTATCTCTTGAGGCATGCAAAACTTGGATGAACAAGGTCCAAAGCCATCCAATCTAGGCTGGCTCTGTTTTCAGCAGTAACTTGAATTAAATGACTTCCAGGGTCCCTACCAGTTTCTGTGGTTCTGCAATTTTCTGATGCTGTGCTAATAGGAGTGGTAGAGAAGGAATGATGGAAAGGAAGAAATGGCAAAATGACATCAAATTTTTGCTTTTTTGCTTTATGAGCAAACCATTTCAAATCTCAAGTAAATTGATAGACATCCATATGAGGTGAGAACATCTTTGGGGTGAGTCATCTTCAGGCATAAAACCTGCTGAATAGGCATATCTAGTCTGCACACTTCATGCCCCCCATGCCATAAATGGGGTTGTGCACATGCAGTTCACTGGAGTCAAGGAGTAGGACAGAAGATGCAAGAGATACAAAAGGGTCTTAAACTTCAATGTACAAATCTTGCCAGGCCTGTCTCTGTCCTGCTGACAAATATTATAAGGTCGAAGGGGACTTTCCAGAGGTTCTTAAAGCAATCTGCTACCAAGCAGAGGGGAAATTTTAAGTGATTTCCCAAATAACTTCTGACAGATGTTCTAGAGCTTACAACAATACTTTCCAAAAAGGCAGTCAATTGTTTCACAATTTATGTATTAATAGATACATAGATAAATATATTTGGTATTCACACATAATTGAAATACACCTATGGAAACACGAAAGTAAACTCACGTATTATATGTCTCAAGATGCATCAAGACTCAAGGATTTTTATAAAAATTTCCTTGGGTAATTTCTATCAGATTTATTTAAATCCACTAGAGAAAATTAGATGCTAAATTCACTGAAGTAGGCACTGTGATTTCTGATACATTTTTTGCTACCTAATTTGTCGGAGGCCCATTTTAGCTGAGATGATGTGGCAGTGCTGCTACAGAGACTTGGAATTTGAAAAAGTTGATCACTGAAGTAAAATCGTGATAGTCAACGTAACTTCCAGAAAGCAAAAACTGCCTCAAAGTGCACTAAGCTTGTGTTCCTCATTATCTTATTTCACATAACCACAGGATGGCTGATGCTGGCAGGGCCCTCTGTGTCCCTCTGGCCCTGCTCAGCAGGGCCACCCAGAACAGGGTGCCCAGGTTTGTGGCCAGGCAGCTGTTGGCTCCATCTCCAAGGAGGAGACCCCACAGACTCTGGGCAGCCTGTGCCAGTGCTCTGTTACCTGCACAGTACAGAAGTGTTGCCCTGTGTTCAGAGGGAACCCCCTGTGCTTCAATTTGTGCCCATGGCCTCTTGTCCTGGCACTGGACTCCACTGAAAAGAGCCTAGCTTCAACTTTTGTACACCCTACTCTCAAGTATTTGTACACATTGACTAGATCACCCTGAATTGCCTCTTTTCCAGGCTGAACAGGTCCAGATCTCTCAGTCCCTCCTCAGAGGAAAACCTACTTTTTTGATCATCTTTGTGACCCTCTGTTGGATTCTCTCCAGTACATCCATGTCCCTCATACTGGGAAGGCCAGAACTGGACACAGTGCTCCAAGTGAGGCTTCACCAAAGCTGACTGAAGCAGAAAGATCACCTCTTGCCAGCAGAAAGATCAGCTGGCAATACTTTGCTGAATGCAGCCAAGAATACTAAGCATTCTTAGCAGCTAGGGCACACAGTTGACTCATGTTCAACCTGGTGTCCATCAGGACCCTGAGGTCTTTTTCGGAGCTGCAGAACAGGGTTATTAAGAGAACTGAATTAATGGGTTAGGTTAACTCAGAGAACAAAAGACAATAGGATAAAAGTGAAGAATAGCAATTTTGTACCATATTTCTTACCTTCTGTAGTTTCATTGTGGGCCACATAGCTTCGGTACATCAGCACTATTTCAATCCAGTGCTGATAAATAAAGGCAGTGCACAAAAGAAATGCAAAGAGAATAGAAATGGCACTGCACAGTATGTACAAGAAAAACACTGTAGAAAGAAAAGGGTTTATTGTAAGTCAGACTTTCCAACTTAGATAAAAAACTCCATTCACAAAAGAAGCTCACAATCTTCATTCCTTCCCTTCTAGCAAGCTTTAGAGAAGATAGGAATTCATTTATCTGCAAATTTCAGCACAGTGTTTCAGTCTACTATGAGGGATAGTGCTTGAACTGTATCTCCCTCTTAGTACGAAAAGCCAATTTGAGATGAAAGGTATAGAGAAAATGGTCTATCGTACACTCAGTGGGACTGAAAACAAAAACTGCTTAAAATGGAAAATATACACATAGCTGCACACAGAACCCTGCTGGAGACTTCCTGTGCCATCCTAGTGATGAATGTCCACTGTGAGCTATGGTTCAAATGAGAGAATGGTTTAATTTCCACACTGATTCTCTTTTTGGCCTTTGCTTGAAAGGCTGCCATATTCATATCAGGTACAGCATAAACATACATGCTAAGGATTGGGAAAACAGAAACATCCCATGTAAATCTTTAAGGGCAAGCAGCCCTCCATCTGTTCTTACCTCTCTGTTTTTTTTTCAGTTGGATCACAGCAGTAGCATTCCCCACAGAATTTTGAGCAAAGCAGATGAAATTGCTTCTTAGGTCCTTCTCAGTAACTTCTTTCAGTTTAGCAACATGACGTAGTACATGTCCCTTTAAACATCTTGGACAAACACTAAAGAGAAAAAGTATATATTTGCGTGACACCTTTGCAGCACATTCATACAATCCCCAAACATCTTAAATACAGAGAAAGAAGATCTTAGCAAATTCTGAACATTTAAATTGAAGTTTTAACAGAGACACAAAACTCTGGTTTGGAGCCTCCATTTGTGTTTTATTTGCATCATAAGAAGATAATGACACCAAAAGGTTTGCAGACTGAAGAGTTTATTCTTATTTCATCAACTCAGCAAAATAATTAATCTCTTGCTTAGCTTTAAATATGTAGGTTTTTTTTACTTCAGTAAGATTATTTGAATTTTCCCAAGACTTTGAACACCCCCCGCAGGACAAATGTAGAGAAATTAAGCTTCAAAAGGAGCCCTGAGAGACAACAAGCTGAGAAAAAAGATGGAAAAGCATCATCTCTTTCCAAGGGATACAAGTCCCAAGGACAGGACAGGCAAATAGAATAAAACAAAAATGAGGAACTGAAGAACAGAAAACGAAATGGTGACAAAAGTGCCTTTTGGGCACTCTGAGGAATACCTAGTGCTTCTGAGTCTTAGTGTTTCTCTTTGGAAGCCATAGTACATGTGTCTGTGGGTCATCTCAAGTACACCTCATGTCATGTCACTGCTGGCCAGTGTGCCAATATGACAATGAGCTACCTCCACTAACCCAAGAGTCGTGGGCATGAATATGGGCAGTTAATTTTAGGATTCAACATGTGCTAAAGTTCTGTTGAGAATGGTCTATAGCAGGGTGGTTGGTACTAGATGGTCTTAAAGGTCTTTTCCAACCCAAACCATTCTATGATTCTATGACTCAGAACTGAGCAGTAAAAGATATGCTTGTATTGCAGATTGCTTGCCCAAGTTGGACACTGTGTAACTGAATGAGACAGGAAAATACAGGAAGGAAAGGGAGGCATGGAGACAATTCAAGTCATCTCAACTGACAGCACGCTCAACATGAGTCAGCAGCCTTCACTGGTAGCCAAGAGAGTAAATTGTATTTTGGCATGCATTAGGTACAGTATAGCCAGCCAGTAATAAGAAGTGATTCCCCTGTTACATATTAGGGTTGGTGCAGCCTCATCTTGTGTATTGTATGCTATTAATGTTAATATCCTTGAAAGGACCCAGGGGAGGAGGACATCAAAGCTGGTGGCAGGGCTGAGGGCATGTCCTGTGAGGAGAGGCTGAGGGCACTGGGCTGTGCATTTTGGAGAGAAGAAGGCCAAGAGTTGACCTCATTGCTCCCTGCAGCACCCCGAGGAGGGGAAGCAGAGGGAGGCCTGGGGCTCTGCTCCTGACAACTGATGGCAGAAGGGAAACGGCACAGAGCTGCGCCAGGGGGGTATCAGGCTGGGCATTAGGAACAATTTCTTTATTGTGAGAGTTCAAACACTGGAACACGCTTCCTAGAGAGGTGGTTCATGCCTCATGCCTGCTAGTGTTCAAGAGGCATTTGGATAATGCCCTCAATAACGTATTTTCATTTTTGGATAATCCTGATGTGGTCAGGCAGTTGGACTCGTTGGTCTTTGAAAGTCCCTTCTAATTAACTATTCTGTTCTGTTCTCTTCTATTCTATTCCATTCTTTAAGGTCACAGGAAATCTTTCTCCTGTATGTCACTTCCCTGTGGAGTCCAGTTAATTCTTTCCAGGGAAGACTTGCAGGGTCTGAAATTCATTTCTGCGTGCCCCCAGTCTGACCTAATGTACATAACTCAATAAAAACAGCCCAGCTTTTGAGGCACACAATTCTATGTCACAGAGAACTGGTATACAGTACTGTTTCACTGGATCCAGTTTATTCCCCACTTAGAGACAATTTTCATAGAGATGGAGTGAATTGTTAGCAAGGCACAACAGAGCACACAGGCACACAACTGATGCAGGCACAAGGGGCCAAGCACCATTCATGCTGAAATTCCCTGTGAGATAAAGCTTTGGGAAAAAAGAGTTAAGACTACACAGAAAATACTGAATTCTTGAATTTATGGCCATATCATATTTTGAACATGTGCTTCTGTATGTAAATGTACTCATGGACAGGCACAATAACATGTTGAAGGACAGATGGTTCTGAGCTCCCTTCAGTAAAATTACATATTAAGTAATGCTCTTGTGGAAGGATTTTTACAGTTGCCAACAGCATAGTAACACTACTATTGTATTGCTTTCTTACCTTGTTTCCTGGTTCAATTTCTCATTTATATTTTCATTGTCTCTTTTCCATATTACTCTTTTCTGAGTACCTCTTTCAAACCCAAACTGTACACGGCATTCCAGTTCAAGGGGTTTTCCTGAAACAAATTAATACAGGAAGAGCATGAATGAAGGTCACTGGACTGTTTTTCCCTTTAGTAGACTGCGATACATGTAATATATAATGTTTATTTTAATATTCACTAATACATTAATTAAGAAAAAAAATTATAGAAAATTCTCTGGAAAGCAAAGCTCCAAGAGAGCAAACCTGTTTTATTTTATTAAGGTTTATCATCATCTACTATTAGCTCATTTGAACATTTTCTTTCACTATCAGAGAAAGAATAAACTTACCAAGTTCTGCTTCAAGAATCGCCACACCACTGGGATGCAAAATGTTTGGTGGATGGATAGTGTTTTTTGCTGCAATTAACAGGACTGCTATTAATAAGTGCTATTGTCAATGCCAAAGACCAGAGAAAATATTTCAAAGGTATATCTTTCTCTTGATGTTAGGTGGAATTTTGACATTACAGTCCAAGAGGATGATTTATGGTTGATAAGCTGTCTGAGAATTCACAGTATGAAAGCTTTCTCTACAAAACTTATATAGATACTTAAACCGCTATGTCAGTTGTTGAACTGGGGAGCTCAGCATCAGCACTGCACCTGAGGTAATTTAGGATTCAGAAACAAGGATCCCCTTTGCAAAATCCCCTGTGGTATCCAATCCCCATACAAGTTCCCTGCCAAGCTCCATTCCACATCCACTAAGCATGCACTAACTCCTTATTCACACTTTAAATACACAACACAAGTACGTGCATTAAAATACCACATCGTTAGAATTTTTTCTAAGCAGGAGTTGACAAATAGCAAGGATAATGTCACCTAGTATGTGCAGTGTGATAAACAGGTACCCAGGCTGTGAGAACGTGGCATGAAGGGCCTAAAATGCACGGCTCTGATATTCTTGGGAAATCCCATACTACAGGAAATGTTGAAATGTTGCCGCACAAACACTATTTTATTTTTTTTTTTAACTTTGAACTATGCTGAAGCAGAGAAAGCTGCTACCCCGCTACTTGTGAATACAGAATAGATGCAGCTGTGTCACATTGCTGGTGTTCCAGCCTAGAAGACAAGGCCTGAAAGAACAGGTCATACAGGCAGTGATGCTGTCCCCAGATAGCATGCAAAAACAAAGAACTTTGTTGTCTTTGTTGTTAGATTGCTCTCAGGTCCCATATTTCCTCTGATACAAAACGTCACATCACCATTTTTAAGTGAAAAAATGAAGATCTCATGCATTACAGAAGAAAATACCGTGTCATCCAACTGTAGAAGGGAATTCTCTAACTCGTACTTTAACTCAAGCCACCACTTCAGGACACGTGTAGGAATGAGATACAGCATTATACTCCACATCTGCCAAGCAAGATTAGCATTCTTCCCTCTTGGTATTCAAATATCTTTCTAACACTGCACATACAGTGCATGGAGAACATTGGCACCAGCAGTGGTTTCATGAATTCTACTCTCAGATTAAGTGATTTAAAACCTTGTGTAGATTTGATTCCCGTTGTTAGGTATCAAGGCAGAATAAGATCTTGACATCTATGGTATTACTAAATTTATTACTAAACACTGAAGGTCCTAGACACTGCCCAGAGATGTCCTCAGAATACTTGCAAGTGAATTTTAATGAAAGTGTAGCTAGTCTAGTTAATAATTTTTCAGAACAAGATCCTGAACAAAATATATTAATAGAGTACTAAAGAATAGGGAAAACATATTTTTGAAATATTTTATAACAGTTAAAATATTACTCACCAATGACTTCTACTGTAACTGCTGTTCTCATTGTCCATTGAGTAGTGTTGTCAAATATGGTGTAATCACATATGTATATTCCAGCGTCTTGAACATAAGTTGTTTTCAAGTAGATTTCATTATCCATAAACTTTAGGCTTTTCCTGGTTTTCCTGTATTCTATCTGACGGCCATCCTAACAGCAATAAAATAGTATCAAATAATTAAATGCATCCTTATTGTAGTTGTTACTGCTGCTGTTAAACTATATTATAAGATACTTGGATGGAATTGCCATGACAGTAACAGTAGGGTTAAGCCAAACTCTTTTCACTGAAAACAAAAACTTTCTGCTATTTAGATTTATAAAAATTGTGGGCTATAATATGGGAATATCAGTACATGTTAAAAAACAACAACAATTTAACTTTTGCGGCTGCTGAGAGATATGTAAAATAATGAAAAAATTATAAATTTAATTCACATTACTAAAGGTCAAAGAAAAGGATCTCTGCTTTGTACATTTACGGAGTAGGCATTTTTATTTTCATAAATAAATGATATTTGAAACCAGTTCCACAACATTTTATAGGAAAAAATGTGGTTTTGGGTTGTATAGATTGATAGCATTGTCACTATTTTCAAAAGGATGAATGCTGCTTTTTGAAAAGTGCCCCTAGTTTTCACAGTTTTATTTAGGTAAAATCTCTAGGGGTACTAGGAATTTTCCTTAAGACAAATGCAAAATGAGGTAAAGACATACCTCATATAAAGCTTGGAAGTAAATGAAGAGTAACTTTGACTGGATGATCATTTTGCTTGAATAAATACTGTAAATAGTACCAGGTAGCAAAATGAACAGTTGAATTTTCAGTTATTTTTGTTTGCTTATATAGTACAAGCTTAGATGGAACTATTAGTAAGTATAATAACTACTAGTGACTGTAGTATTATTTCACCTTAATGAGAACTATTGGTGATAGGTGGATGGTTGGACTGGATGATCTTGTAGGTCTTTTCCAACCTTGGTGATACTGTGACCCTATGATTCTGTAGCATATTACAATTATTACAGACAAAGTAGGGATAAATTTTAGCTTGAAGGTAATTTAGCAGTCATTTGAAAAAGACTAAATCAGTAATTCCTCTGTGGGATGGTGCCTCATTAGAAACAGATTCTTGGAAAGAATAATTTGAAATATTAATATTAAAATAAATTTGTTTCTAACATAGCCAATTTTTTCTTTCATACATTTGACATTTTCAGAATTTAAAATCAAAACAGAACTTTAAAATTTTAAATTTCAGCAGTGTCAATGTTGTAAATAACCAATTTTTATTCTCAATTACTACAATTAGTTGAAAAGAAACTATGCGGAATTCCGTACTTCCACTGTGCTTCTGAATACTTAAAGGACTGACTCTTACCTTGTACCATCTTACATCCACTTTATCTATATGGCTGTAGCATTTTGTCCCAGGACAAGCTATTGAATTCCCACTGCCAGCAAGAAGATGCAGTGTGTTTGTACCATAGCCTGCACATTTTGCCTCTGCCTTTGTCTGAACCTCCAGAACAATTTTGAGACACGGGATTTTTTCACTGAGTGATACAGAAAAAAAAAAAGTTAAACTTTTAATATAAAAGCAAAACAAATACATCAATTCTTACCTAGAAATATAAGCCCTTTTCCCCATTACATACTGTATCATACAGATGTAGATTCCAGAAGCATTCTCCTTTACTGGTTTAAACCAAAGTGCATCCCCTTGCAGAGTAACGTCAGAGCTTTCCTCAACAGCTTTAAGATGTCCTTTGTCTTTCTGACACCAGAACCATTTCACCTCATGTTGCTTTAGACCTGAGTTGTTATAAATGTTGGTAGCATCTTTATGTGGCAAAGCACATTGTAAAACAAACTCTTCATCACTAATTGCACGATACCGTACTTGAGGCTTTACATAGGAACATCCTGAAAAGTAGGAAAATATCATATCAGTACCACCTGAAAAGCGCACACAGCAGTCATGCCTTAAAAAAAAAAAAAAATATATACTGAAAAAAATACAGTTTTTTTTTCATGTGACTTTCGGACTAATGACCAACTTTGACCAAATAATTTTCTTAAACATGGAATTGATCAAAGTTCTCAAAGACTTGTTCAAAAGTTGTTGCCAAATGTTTTTTTCAAAACATTTTTTTCAAAATGCTTAATATGAAAATAGCTGAAGATTTTTAGTGAACCAAAGACTTTCATGTGGATGCTAATCTGCTAAACCTCCTCCGCTCTGTAGAAAAAAATGTGTAGCTCTTCTAGATTCCCTCTTCATTAATGGAGAAGGGAGTGAGATAAATGTGAAGAAGTAGAGCCTGCCTGCCTCACTCCCTAATTAAAGTAAGACTGACAAACATTTCATTATCATCTCATTGCTTTCAAATCTTTGCCCTCGTACATTTCAGTTGCTATGTCTAAATGAAATGAATTTTCAGATTCTGATTGCTGTGGTCACACATCCCAACCCCAAATTCTCAAAAGGCTGACCAACCTCCTGGTAGAATGGATGTAGTAACCCCTGAAAGAAGGGTGGCAGGATTTCATATCAGTAGAAGGGAACACATGAACTGTTTGGTTTCTCACACGCCCCAGTGGGAAATCCTTTGCAGTTTTGGTTTCTCTGCAACTGGAATTAACTAAGTTCTTTCAGATAGACAGATGAATGGAAAGCTCTGATATATTGATCTCACCCAGCCTTGTTTTCCACCTCCCCCATGGTTGGACCAGCTGCTGGAGACTTCAGGGAGTCATAAAAACCACTAATATTTTCCATTAGGTTACCAGAAGTTCTCCTTTACATCTCATGAAGTCGTGGCTAGAAGTAGATCTGCTTCTCTAAGTTTTCAGCAAGTATTACAACCACCAAAACCCACCAAAGCGGATTTCTTACCTGGCAAATTAATCCCTCTAACTTCTGTTCCATACAATGCTAGAATCCAGGAAAAAGTAAGCATCATCTTCTTTATTAATTTTGGTTGGTATTCTGAGATATTTTCTTTAAGAACCATCCTGCTTTCTGTAAAAGAGAAAAACAGACATTTTTTTGCAAATAATAAAATGATAAGTCAGGTGGTTAAATATGTAACTCATTGTGTAGCTCTATGAATAATGGCAGACAGTATTTTGTAGATAGTGTGTTTTAAAAATGAGGTTCGCAGTGCTCTTCCTGCTCATATCATTTCACACAAATGCAAGATAAATAGTATACAAGAATACAGAAAACCTCTTCAAAATATCTTTCAATGACATATTTATCGTACATCTTATATGCAGTACAGGTAAGCATTACATATACACAGATCTTCTGCATCACAGCGCTGTGCTGCCTGAATGACCTTAGAGAATTGCAGAACAGGGCAACATCCACACCATCGTTAGGTGTCAGCTCTGTGCTGTGCCATTTGTGAGCATAAAGTGGGGAGCTTCTAACATCCAGGAGGTCTGGGAGAAGGTCCACAAAGCACTCAAGAGTCTTACATTGCAGCCTCCTCGCCAAAGTGAAACCCCGAACCCTGTTGCATGAATTATTCTGCCTCTACCACACAGAGGCTTGAGCTGTGTCCCACAGCCTTTCCAGCTGTGGGGCTAAAGAGAAGGCAAGTTGTCCAGCATTCATCTTCAACAGCCCCAGATGAATTTGGATATTTAGTTAGAACATCTCCAACACTGATGTTCCTCATTCAAGATCTCAGCTAGTAAAGACACACCCTTTGCTGGTGCTCACATTGTGCAATTCAGACCTCAATAATTTTTCTTTGCTCTTTGGGCTGTTAAGTGACTCTGCATTTACACAGTGGCTAGAAAGACACTGAGTCAGCCTGAGGGAAAAAAAGGTCAGGCAAGGGCTAGTCCCTAGTCTGTGAGCATCTCATGCAAATTAGACACAACTCAAACAGGCAGGCATCGAGAGATCATCCAAGGCACCATGAGTTGGCTGCCTAGATAAGGAGAACTCACACTACATTTTTTCAGGAACCTAACCCACATAGAGAGGAGCACTTTAGTCACTGTTCTGTTCAAGATGTCTCTATTCCCTACAAGTGAGTGGAACAATCTATTTTTACACTCAGAGGTCATACAGGGTAGGCACATTTGTTTGCCTTAACCCATCCTGGTGCTTTCTTATAGACCATCAAATCAACCGTCAAAATGTCATTACCCTGTATACATCTTAAAAACATACTGAAACTCCAAGCCAGTAAGTCAATCTGAAAAAAGAGACAGAGTTTCACTGGGTGCAAGCCCTCCTAAACTTTAGAAAGACTTTTATCCACTACATAAGAATGAATGGATCCTGACTCTCTTGGATCTGTTTTAAGGCAGTCATAAAGATCTCTCTCAAAGCATCCATTAGTGTTGCAACTCTGTATAAAGCAAAGATCATGTTCTGAGTTATGTCACCCAACAGTCCATCTGGCAAAAGCATACTGGTGCCAGTTGCTAGCAGAACCCAAGAGCCTTGTTTGTGATTCACTGCTGAACCCCCCTGAGCAGGAAAGTTGATGCAATGGGTCATTGTTGCCAAAGAGAGGTGGTCTCATCTGTCATTCTGTCCTACCACACTCATCTCTCTTCACCCTAAACAAATGGTCCAGCCCCTCTATGGTGACAGCTGCAGTTCTCTTTCATGCCTCAGTTCAATTTGCTAAGCCATTAGAAGTTAAGCTCTGGGACTGCTGATTTTCCAGCTACTCCTTTGTTCGTAAACAGGGACAAGCAGCCTATATGTAGCAAAACCATATGAAGCGACACAAAGCATTTAGTAATACAAATGACACATAATGTCTATGTTCTCCAGTTTAATTCCATGCTAGCAACCCTCAGGTAACAAAGGGTCACTGTGAATGGGAAGAAGTGGGAAAAGGAGGGTTAACTAATGAAGTTAATAGCTTTGGTCAGCAATTTGCATAACTCTCTGTTGTATTCTGCTAGCTGTGATAAGGTACATCACTACCAAACACGAGTTAACACTTATTACAGAAGTGCCATCATGACAGCATGTGAGGTTAAGAAGTGTGATCTTGTAAATGTGCTAGACAGGGAGAGGGAAACTCACAGCTAAAGCAAACAACAGTTACCAAAAGAAGGGGGTTGTTGAAAAAGGATAATCTTAAATGACCATCTATATTTGTTTACACTGTGGGTGGACTCAAGGTGATTCAGTGACTTAAAATATTCAGTGACTTGCCAGTATTTGCCAGGAAAATCAAGACAATCTTTCCCTAGGTAACATTATCTACTTCTCTGTCTTCTCCAACCATGTGTGCATCCCTACTGTCATATCCTTAGTTCAGCAATTTAGGATGCTGTTTCACTGGAAATCAACACATATGCAAAGGAGACTAATGTGGTTTTAAAGTAATTTCCTATGGTAAAACAATGCAAAAGAGAAGAATAAGAGCTGTTCCCTTTTGCCTATGTTTTAACTCCTGTAAGACACTCAGAAAAAAATAAAATTGATGAAAGTCTCTTCAGCCTCAGAGTTATCAATTTCTATCAGTTGTCACAGATTTACATCACAAAGGCTGATTAATCTGATAATCTGATTCTAAATGTAAGATTACAAATAGTCACACAAGAGAAGAAAAAACTTCACCAATCCTATGAAGTGAAATATAGTCTAGCGAAGCTACTTACTAAGGCTTTTTTTTTTCTTTTGCTCAAGTAATTAAGAACACTTTACTTTAAAACACATATTAAAAGACAGTGAAACTAACTCACCTGTAAGTGGTGTAAGTGGTATAAGTGGTGAACAGACTAAAATCTAGAATTAAAAAAGGAGAGATTATCTGAAAATCTTACCTGCACATTTTACACTATGTGGTACGAATTGTGGTAAGGTTTAGCTGAACACTGTTGAGACTCTGTTTCCTTTACAGGAATTTCCTCTACTTGAGTGTCATCATCCCTTCCTTTTTCGGTTTAATTGCTTTAGGTTCAAAGTTTCCGGGTAATTTTCTTGTAAAAAGATAGGGGGAAAAAGGGTTGCCTCTACTAAAAAAATCAAAGCTTTCTGAGCTTTAAATCCTTTACTTGCACTGCATTCAGAAATGCATTGGACTTTTTAGTTTGCTTCATTTATGAGGAGGAATGGTAGAATATTCTTTTCTCTTTTTTTTTTTTTTTTTTTTTTTTCCTAAGTGCTGCTACTGGATGGGTGAAAAGAGTACATAATTTACAAAATCTGTAAGCCAGCCATACATCTTCTCAGTACAGAATAATAATTCACTATACCCAGCAAGTTCTTACTATCCTTAGAATCATAGAATCACAGAATTGCTCTGGTTGGAAAAGACCTTCAAGATCATCAAGTCCTTAGTCACTTTCTGCATGATGCGAAGAGGCACTGTATGAGGGCTGTGACACACTATCTTTCTGTGCCCTCACACTTCAATCTTGTTGGCAACACTAGTGGGGCTTTGCAGATAGTGAAAAACGTAGGCCTGATGAATACGAGCTGTCTGTGACATCCCCACTGGACCTGCTAGGCAGGCAGAGCACTTCAGCATATCCAATATCCAATCCCACATGGTCCAGCTCCTCTTCCAAGGTTCCTCTGAGGATGTGAAATCCTTACAAAACAGGCTGCATATTGACTCTGACTACATAAAAGCATAAGAGCATTTCAATAGATGTCTCTCTGCTTATGCTAGACATTATGCTTCCCCTGTGTGAGACTTACTCTCTTTACTGCAGCTTGAGGCAATTATTCTATTTCATTCAGGTTCCACGAGAAGAAGGTAAGAAAGGCTTTTTGCTGTACAGCAAATAAATGTAATATTGCCTCTGCTCAGAGAATCATAGAATCATTTCAGTTGGAAGGAAACGTTAAAGGTCATCAAGTCCAATTCCCCTGCAATAAACACATGCAGCTCAATCAGGTTGCTCAGAGCCCCATCCAGCCTAAAAATAGACACATTCTTTTAGGCAATAGACAGTACTAATGTTTGTTTATGTTGGGTCCTGAGCATGTGGAAATATAAGATGGGTATTCTCAGATTCCACAGCTGGTGATTAAGCTTAGTGGTTGTTTCCTCCAATATCTTCAGTGTTTTGCCCCAGCACAAAATATATGTTTGATTTCTAAGTTACAAGAGGCTCCAGTGATTCTTTATAGGTTTCAGTATAAAGAGATGAGACTTTTGTAGGTGTCCTTTTTGACTGGGGGGAGAAAAAAAAGCAGTTCACTTTTTCCCTTTAATGAATAATGGAGTGCAACACAGACAAAGCAAAGCCCATGCTACCTTCATAGAATCACAAAATCATAGAATCATTAACATTGCAAAAGATATCTAAAAAGATCTTCTAGTCCAACCGTAGACCCATCACCACCATGCTCACTAACCTAGAGCCATTGCTCAGACAACCAGGAAGAGGGCTGTTTTCCAAATACAAATCTTCCAAGCATAAAATGTACGTCAACCTTTTCAAGTACTAACAAGTTCATTAAAATAAATAATAATAAAAAATGAAAAGTAGCCCAATCACTTGATAAAACATCAGTCACCCAGAGTTTTGAATGAGGACAGATGGATGAAAATCTTGTCAAATTGTACAACCCTGTGGCTCAGCTTCTGCCAAGACTCACCCATCCTCTTCTGTAAAAGCAATATACATTCTAAAAATCAGTCTCACACACTGTACTTATCAGGCTCCTCCTTTCCCCTTGCTGCTAGAGCATGTTTACAAAGGAACGGATCCAGAATTCCCTCTCTGCCTCCTCTCCACTCCCTCACTCAGCATATTTTAGGCTATGGCCATAAGAAACTGCAGGCTCCACACTCAGTAGTACCTTTCCATCCCCCTAGAAAGTCAAGGCAAGAGTCCATATCCTACCTTGTTCATCTCACATCTGCTCAAGCCTTCTGTCAGCCAAGAAGCAGAGGGGAAAATGTACTTCTCTCATCATCTCACCATCTCAGCATGTAATCTTACACTAGTAGGAAGAATTAAGTCTCTTTATCAGTCTTGTACTATTCTGGCTTGACACATTCACGCACCACATCCACGCCTTCCGAGCTATGGTTAACACTGACTGAGTAAGATATTTTCCACTCTGTCTATTTTCTACACTGTGTCAGTGGTGTTGGTTCTGCTGTCACAGATATCTGAACTGTATCTGAACATGAACTTCTGTTCACCTTGTACTGGATTATATGGCCAGTGGAATGGCATAAGTCAAGTGGGTTATGGAGCAGTGGCGTAACTCACCTATTACTCCCCTGTGAAATAAGGGAAAGTCTTGTTATCTACCTAGATCTGTTGCACTACAGCAGTTTTCCTTAGTCATTAGAGTGCAGTAAGACTAGTCTCACACTGATGAAATAATAACTGAACAAATCACCTTCAGGCAAATAAAAATGCAAAGCATATATTCATGAATCAGGCCTTTAAAATCTTTTTTCTCACAACATTTCACACTGTTAATCAGAAAGGACTGACTAGTAACCTCAAATTTGACAGCAAACCTTTCTTGATAGTGTATCCCATTCTTTGGAAGCCCAGAAGTACAAATGTCCATGACTACATTAAGAGTTTTCATGCAGAAGCTGATTGTGCCCAAGCACTGAAATAGGTCAGCATAATTTCTCCATTACTCCTACAGGAGATTTTACTATTATAATGGCTTTAACATTCAACACCAATTTTTTTTTTTAGTGTTTTGGATTTTTTTCTCTTCCTGGATAATTTTCTTTACAATGCTCCTATTCCTTTTCCCATTCGTGCAATCAGCTTGAACAATTTAAATCCTTCTTCAGCCCTTTCACATGCTTCACCCAGTGATTCTCTGCCTTGCATTTCTTGAAGTCTCACTTTGGTGACAGCATTTCATCAGAATTTGCACTGTACCATTTGACTTCCTTCCATCATACTGGCAGCTGGCAACAATCAGCAAATGTGTTGAAGTTCTTCTCCCAAGTTTTCATTTCCAAAGTATGACTTTCTTCCTTGTAGCTGATTTTTGTTGTTATTCCCAAGAGCAGTATCTTCCTTAAGTACTATAAATGCAATTATTCTTGATATACTACATTATAAGTCACAACACAGAGAGACATAGCTTTCACAGTTGAGCTGGATATTTAGGCTATACCTGGCTACAGAAATGAGGAGTACCCCAGAATACAATATCCTACAAGAGTTATCTTCGCAAAGGAGATTCAGACTGCTCCTGGTGTATAATGATAGCTCTTCGTGAACAGCACCAGTCACTTATAAATTTGCCTTTTTTTTTTTTAAGTCAGATTTTTACAGCTTCACAAATGGTTTTAGATACTTTGTAGAATAGCATTCCTTTACCACAGTCAGAAAACTTCAAATAGCTATATTTTTCCTGCACTATACATCAATATTTTGTAGATACATCTTAAATGTCTCCTGCACATGACTGGAACTGACTTAACTATGGTAGTTGTCAAAATAATTAGAGCTATGAAATGTAAATCCGTATCATAAATAAGGCCAAAGTACTGTACTTTTACTTCTGAATTTGATGAATAATACACAATAAATATATTACATTGGACTGCAGTGTATCTCACTTGTTGTACATACTATAACCCAGTAAGAGAGGCCAAAAGGAAGATGAAACAATGCAATATAAGAGACAAATCCCCCTGATGAGTTGATTGCATATCTAGCAAAACTCAAAAATGAGACTGATGAGCTCTGTCTGCACCTGTTTTCTCTGAAGTTCAGAAAATTTGGTGTATTAAACCACAGAAAATTGTCACAAGTTGGTCAAAACTGGAACAGATTCTTGTGGAGTGTCTTTCAATATTGTACCCAATGTAGCTTGTGGCTGCTGCAGAAAGCTTGGTAAATACTGTTTCACACAGGCATTTTATCTAAATATAGCTACTAAATCAGAAAACCATTTCAAAAAAATTCCCAATCACATTTTCTCTTTCAAAATACTGAGTGCTCTTCAGGTATACCACAAGCATCTCACTAGGAGGGCAACACTTGAAACATTTTATTAAACATACAAAAGATTTAATGAGGTAAAGTTTGCCCCTTCCATGCAAGGTAGAACAACCTCATTTTAAGTCTTCTTTTTTCAAATTCTCTGAGAGAACATGATAGAAAACAGTAATTTAAACATCTATTGGATCTAGAGTAACCTTCTCACACATTACTTGAGGGACATGGATTAGTGGGCATGGTGGTGATGGGTCGATGGTTGGACTAGCTGTTCTTAGAGGTCTTCTCCAACCTCAGTGATTCTATGATTTATCTTCATATCTGTCAGTCTTTACTTTCTTCCAGTATTCATGGTCTTTAATGACAAGAGGCATGAATCTACTGTTTTCTGGATGTGATACTTAGAATACTAGACCATAACGCTCAAACAAGCTGCAAACTGCTCCTAGGTTTGACAAGACCAGCATAAAGTAACCTTGTTCTGCACACACGATAAACATGTGCCCAAGCATTGGAGATCTCAATTTTGGGCTGACTTCAAAATTTCAATTTAACTTCTTGTTTTGTAAATGTGCTACTGACAGCTTGCTTCTGCACACATCTTCAGTTTATCTGCAACATAACCTGCAAATCTTCCTTCTGTCCTCCAGTTCTTTGATCTGAGACTAGTGGAAGAGACAGTATTTGTCCTGAAGCTTGGATACAGGCTCACATATCTCCTCATTCATCCCTGCTTTGCAAGTTCTACCTCTCCATCTGTCTCTGTAAAGAATGTAGAAGGCAATGGAAGAACAGAAATGTTTACAGGAAAATATATTTATGGATACGGTATTAAATGTGGCGTCCATTTAGAAGGATTTTTTTTCTCTGCAGACTCAAATTTCTACAGATTTGGTGCAGACACTGATGATAACCATACAGGGTAGAATTCATGGACAACAAACACTCAACCTTCTACATTTTCAAGTCCTTACATACTGTAATAGTGATACGATACAGGACAGTACCAACTCTTCCCAACAATTATGTTCAGTATACAAGAAGACTTCTTTGGCACCCTTTTTTTTTTTCTTCCCTACATTGTGTGGCAGTAGTCAGGTATAGAAAGGAATGGTAAAATACGTAGACTATGGTTTCACAGTCAGTACTGATGAGACAAGAATCTTGAAGACTGCTATCTTACAACAGCTGTCTTCTAACTGATCCCATTTGCATTCTCCTCTGGAAAATTATTTATTCCAGAAGCTTGTTCTGATTCAGCTTAGTTTATTTACCTATTTTACAGTACAAAGGAGACACTTACTGCTTGTGTAGAGTAGGTCTAACAACACTCCTGCTTATTCTTGCATATTTTTTTCCTTACTCAAAGTTTGATTTTTGCCACTTACTGTTGAGTAACTGCAGCAAAAACAAAAGCCACTGTTGTACAGAGGGGGAAATAAATTTTTATTAAGTGCAAAAAATGGTACAAAAATGTTAAAAGAATCACTGAAATGATCTCAAAACAACAGTCATGTCAATTCATATATATATATATTGACACAAACATCATCAGGAAAACCAAAAGAACCACAGTCTATAAAAGCCTTACTAGTAGCCTCATTTCTCTAGTGTGGCAAACAGAAAGTAGGCATTTCTAAGCCTTGGTTAAAATCAGCAATTTGGGACCTAAGAGCAATAAGAACTGATGTTAGTTTATGTATGCATAGTCCTATTTTCCCTTGTCTCTTTTTACCATGGCACATTGCTCAGCAGTGAATACAGACAGCCTGATTCACTTCTCTGCTCAGCGCTGCCCAAGGCCTATCTGCCAGACTTTCCTGAGTAGGAGCCATTTGTTTTTACTTCCAAGCAGGACCCTTAGAAAATATCAAAACCAAAAGCTCCTAAATATCAGAAATATGCAAGTTTAACCAATGTCATTCTACAAGTAGGAAAACATAATACCAGAAGTTTACACAATGCAGTGGTTGTGGAATAAGAGTTAAGCTCCTTATGCAGACTGCTGAGGAAACATCCTTTGGGATATAATTTAGTATTGGAGTTAACATGATTCTAGCCAATGTGGTGATTCTTACATTCTTCTCAAATCTCAGACTGCTATGAATACTGTCTCTCAAAAGTAATTGCAGTGTGTGTTTTCTATTTGAATTTATTGAAGCTGGTAGCTTTCTGCAGCAAATTCCATCTCCTAAATTGCTATATGACTGTATTAAAGTCACAGCCTCCACCCCATGGTTGAGTCCCTTCTGAACCTCGATCTAGATTCAGACAGTGTCCTTTGGTGTTTGACTTGGTAGGTTTTGCTGGCATTAGGTACCGAAGGTTCTTCCAAAATCTGGAATTCACGGGAAGAGATTTATCTTTTTTCCATTTCACTATCCTCTTTGATGGCAAAAGAGACAATGATTCTGGCAAGAAATTGTAGTCACTTATAGGCATATATTCAATTAATATAATCTTTGTTTTCCTTTCTACTAGAGCTTTGTGCAGTCCACTCTCAAGTTCATATATGACTCTGTCAGAAATGTAGTTCTGGCTCAGTATAATGATTAATCTTCGGCTTTTGTCAATGAATGAATGGATATCATCAACAACAGCTGCAAATTAAAAAATAAATGTGTTATTAAGCTAAATTGAAAGGGCAGGCACTGAACTGACTTCTCCTTTAAGAATTCCACATGTACCAAAATATTCTTCTTGTGAAGAATCATCCTGTCCTTAAGAATAGATTAATATTCATTACGGATAATGGATTTGTGAAAATAAGCTCTCCCATGGTCAAAGCTTAATCTCTGAAGCAGAGAAAAATCTATATACAATCTCCAGCTATCTATCTGTAATCATACGTACAGAAGGTGACAGTTAAATTTATTTTTCATCCACTGATGCCATTAGAGTGATTCCACACAAAGTCACCAACAGTCACCTCTCCCTGATTGTTCAATAAACACCAGCTCACTCCTTTTCTTCCACTGAAATCCGAAATCTACTGCTGATAATTCAAGGCTGAGAAGGCTAGCATGAGATGATAGAATGAGTTCCAGCATTATCTCCACAACCATGAAACAACAAGGTCTACAGAAACTACAAATCTAGAAAATATGCCTCATAGGGAAAGAGAAAGCAAACTGCAGAAGTAACCAAAAGAAGAGAAAACTGAAAGGAGAAGGAGACTGGCAAGGGTACTGCAAATAGAAAGCTCCTGCAAATAGAAGGAAACAATCTGTTTTCTATATCCACAATAGATCATACCAGAGAAAATGAAATAAACAGCAACACTTGAAGGGAAGAATCAAGTTGAGCACACAGGAAAGCCTTTTTTATAATACTCAGAACTTATTGGGAAATTTCTGGTATTTCTTACAGGTTTGAAAAATATGTCAGGAAAGGATGCGTGGACAGAAGATCCCACCTTGAAAAGGAGGGTGAGAGAGCTTACTGCTTCGAGAGTTTAACATGAATTCTACCCCCCAAACAGGTGCTCAAATTAATGAAATTATATTTTTTGTGATCATCTGTAAAAGGCTTTCTGCTCATAGGTCATTTAAAGAAACAAAATGTCATGTTCTCATGTATATTTTCCTACCATTTGTCTTCTATTGGATATATTAAAAAAAAAGGCTATCAACTGCCAAAACAAGGATAGAAACATATAAGCTACCTGAAAATACTTAATACCAGAACCATCAATTTCTCTGTGCAATAAATGTAAGTTCATTCACAGACACCTGCCCTCAGCAAAAGCAGAGAAAGAGCTCCACCATCATGAAGCACCTTATAATCTGTGTTCTCACCCTTTTTCCATGGCAGCTTTTCCACCTATTTGTCTTGACTGCATAATCAAAGGTATATATGCATGTGTCTAAGAATTCATAAAATTACATAAAAAGCAATAAAATGTCTTTGTGCTGCCTTTGTGAGCAAACATAGCCTATATACAATGAAAAGGTACCACTTCAATGTAAAGAACTTTTGATAGAGTTCTTTATTTAGCTTTGCATGAAAAGGATGTGTTAATTTATTGACAAGAATATTCAATATGCTTACCTCCTCCAGGAGATACATCCCTCTCAAATATACATAACTTGTACCCAAAGTTTTCTTCTAATATCATTGGTAATATCCTCAAAGCAAATTCTCTCTCTTCTTTACTAGTAGAAACACAGTCTTTCAGGTAAGATACAAAAGCATCATATTCTTTTCCATCTGGAAAGAAATCACCCATTTTTGTCTTGTTGGCAATGATTAGAAATAAACTATCTGGTCCACCATTCTGGTTTACAAAATTACTGTTTCAGTTGCAAAGCATCTAGAAGCTTCTGCTCTTTTTTTCTTGACAATAGATACTTCAAAAAATTTGCATTTGATTTTGTTTGCATTTTTTCAAATATTTGAAAATAATATATCCTCTCTCCATTATATTTTTAAATCAGATTAATTTAACCAGTCAATGTGATACTTACAATGATCAGAAAAAAGAAAGAACTTACTAGAAACTAATAGAAAAAACATGTTTATGACTTGATAAGAATATTAAATAAGTCACATTTATTTTACTCTTTGTCTAGTGCTATCATGTAGGTCTGCAGAACAATAAAATAAGCCAGTTCATTATTTTAACGAGTTAAGAATTACAAGAATATACCACATTTGGTCATGTACCAGGAAACAATCTATAAGCATAGAACCCAAATAAGACCAATTCCAAAACTAGATTTACCATACTGATCAATCCCTAATTGAACCTTGCCACAAAGAGCTATCTGGTTTGACACAAAACACATAGCTTGGCATCAACTATACTTCTTCCTTAGCGTTAACAAAGAGAAAAATAACTCTTTGGAAACAAGGAAACAACGACATTCACCCATTACTGAGAAATCTCCAACTACTGCGGTTTATTCAAACTATAGCCAAGCTGATTTAGAGTCCAGACTCCTACAGACAAAGAAGCATTTTAATAGCAAGCAGAAGGGCACCACTGAGGTGAAAACAAATTTCTATCGATCTATCACTTTGACAACTGCAGAATGCTCACTGTGGATAGATACTTGTACATTTCTCCACCTATGCCAACAACTCTCCAACTTTTGTGATGCAGATTACTACAGAATAAAGCATATTTGAACAGCATCCAATTACATCCCTCCTATTGCCCGCTCCAGAGGCAGCTTCTCTGTGCGTATCTGCTTTACTACTCTAAGAGGATAACATCATTTTAGCACCTATTGATATCTTTTATGTACTCTTTGCTCTTTCTACCTATAGAACTCCTGCATTTATTTTGCCACTTCCTCAAAGATGGTCATTTTACAGAACTTATCAGAAGCTATTCTTTTAATCAATGTGCTACTTCAATGTCAGCATTAGCCAAGTCATACCTCCAGCAGTGTCATCTCTTTGGCTTATGTTCCTGTAGAATAGAACTAAGTCTACTCTGAAAATCACACAGACAACTACCACAGCCAGCGCAACACATGGAAACAGTACAGCAAGGATCATTCCAGTTGTAAATATGTGCATAGGAAGATCTTGGGTATTTCCTGTAAAAGAGAAACCCAGGCAATTATAGCCTTAACAGAGAGTATGATAGTAAATACTCATGACATCTTAAAATCACCCAAACTGAAATGTTGATGTGAATCTTTTCCTGTTAATCTTTCAGGCACACACGTACACCATTAATCCTAAGATGGAAAAGAGCTGAAGAACATAGATTACTCTAAAAACAACAAAATTAATCTTTGGTGCACACACACCCTAGATACACATAAATGAGTTTCATATGGGATCAATACTGAGACAAAACTCCTCAAAAATGTACAACATCCCAAACTGGAGAGCTATACTAGGTCAACTGCTTTTATCACACACAGAATCACACAGAATTCTATGTTGACCTGAGTTCTCCTCAGAATCTTTATCGTTTCCTCTTATTTGCTACTCCTTTCTCAGCTCATCAATAACACCACTTAATGTCCTTTTTAATCTTTTTTGTTGTTGTTCTGTCTTTACTCTCTCAAGCTTTTTTTTTTTTGTTTATTTATTGTTATCCTCTTATTTTAAATTCCAAATATATATTTAAATTCCAAATATGGATTACATATTTGTGAAGTCCTTTGTGAGAGCACTGTCATGTCATGCTCACTGTAGTCTGTACTTCATTTGCTCAATTATCTGCTGCATATTTTAACATCAACTAGTCTATCTGCACACTTAACGTTACATATTTCCTCCAAATAAAGATCAGAAAGGTCTGAGATGGAAAAAAAAGAAGGGAATGTCCACTTTTCAGGAATCTCCAAGCTATCTAAACAATAAATACATAGTATTACTGTAAGGTAGAGGTCAGTTTTCCAGTGCTAGAGAGATAGAATTTCTCTGATAAGAGAGAAATCTTCGACCAGAATGCCTGAGGCATTAGTGGGAATATCAAAGACTGCCCTTTCTAACAAACTACTACAGAGGGATTTGTCAGCCAGAGCTCAGCTGTGCCTTCCCAAGATGTACCTATGGCAGCAGTGGTTTACCCAGGGAGCTTTAGACAGCTGCTACAATCCCCACTGCCCCAGCTCAGTGCAGAAGGAATCATCTGGAGATATGTTAAGCCCACCATCAGAGGAGCCAAAGCCTTCACAAGCATGCATGTGTGTCTGGACTGATATTCTGAAATCAGTGCTGTGCCACCCTTGCCAAGGGGGCTGGCACAAATAATTAAAAATGAGAAACGTGATTCATAGATTATACTGTACCTTTTTTCAGTTTCACTACTTTTATGTGCATTATTTCATCGGCTTGCAGTGTGCAGGTGAAATTGTGATTCAAGTCCTCCTCTCTTACTTTTTTAATCCGTAGAAGCCTTGTGAAATAAAACTTGTTTCCCAAACTGCAATAAGGAATGAAATTAGCAACACTATCTGCATAGAAATCTACAATAAGTTGAGAAGCAGATTTTGAGGAAAAGGTTGTAGAAGAGCTGCAGTAATTTTAATTAATTTGCAGTCCACAGCGTATGACAGAAGATCAGTATTTTCTGGAAACCTACTGTGATTTTTTTAAATCTTCTTCACATATTGGTGGATCAGCCTCGGGAATACCTGAACATTTTTTTGGAAATGTATCATTAAACCACCAGTAGAGGTTGGCATCTTCTTGTATATAATAACCCAAGAAACCTGTGCAGTTGAGTGTCTCTTCTTTACCTAAACAAAGCATAACATAAGAAGATCTAATCAAAAGCAGCACTTTCACATTTACAGTGCAGCAAAATATGAGCTTTACAGGTCAGATATCCAAGATGCTATCCTCCTTTCTGGACTTAGTAGCCCTAACACAAAGTTTTATACATGTTCCATCTGTACTGTTGCACTCATTGCAGAGTGAGGATCTTCTGTCAAATTAACTCTGTAACAGGCAGAAAAGTTTAAATTAAAAAGTTAAAAAAGTTTAAAAGTTTAAAGACTTTAGTGGACTAAACTGCATGCTGCTGGAAGATAAAAGGACAACTCATCAGTGCCTCAGGGCCAGGGAAGGGCAATTAAACCAACTGATGGGGCTAACTAAACTGTATACAACAGCACAAAGAAATAACCAAACCTGCTATGGCCTGTGATGACCTCTCACAGAAAAAGCTGTCTTCTCTTCCAGTGGAACAGTTCAAGAATCTCTAAAGCAAGTCTAGCTGAAAGTATGCCAGCTTTAAATTCAGACCATCTAAATCCAAATTACAGTTGCGCAGTTTAAAACATAGACCTAAACATTTATTATCAACTGCTTTGCAACTTGAGCCTTACTGTGCACAACTGCTATTTTCAGGAAAATTTTATAGAACACTGTCTAAACAACACAAGTTTTGAAAGTCCACAGACCAAATTCATCCAAAATTCCTTTCATTCTCCACCACGCCATCATGCTGAAGGTAAACCAACATCTGGTGCCTTGGCTGAGCAAATGAGATTCACACATGAGCAACAGAGATGCTAAATAAGAATTTGCAAAATGGTGCAAGGGAACACTGGATAATGGAATGGGAGAAGCCCTCAGACACAGGACAGGAAACAGACAGACAAATGTATGTTCTTGGGAATCATATAGTCTCAACAGGAAAATTTCAGATGGTTTCCAATACTGTGTGAATCCTACAGACCATGTTATCTAACCCCCAGCTAGGAACACAGATAAGGATTCTTTGCAGCAGTAAGAGATCTGAATGCTTTTATTGACAGGACTGTCATCCCTCAAATTTCACACTGCACTGCAGAACAACATCTTTGATTGTAACAGATATGAAAGGGATTACTTATTATTGTTGCTCACTGAAAAAAACAACCAGAGGCATTTCACACATTGTTCTGTGTTGCTTGCTGTCTAAAAATAAAGCCATGGAGGGCTGGTTTATCATTACCGCCACTTTTTCTTGATGGTCATAGCAACAACCTCCTCTTCTGCCTCTGCAAGGGTGAATTTAGTGTACTTGTAGATAGATCATGGAACCCACTAGTAAAAAAATAACCATTTGTGAAGACATTAGATCCAGCAAGGTATACAGACAACTATTTCAGTTAAACTTAGCAGACCATCAGCCATAAAGAGCTCAGGACTAAAGCATGTATATGAACATGTATAAAAATACTCATATCAATTTGATACCTATTTCTGTTTGAATTTCTTCATTGCGTCCAACTATCTCCAAAGTTACAGTCTCTGGTGCATCTAAAAAAATATATAAATAAGGAAGTTTTGCTATTGAAGCTTTCTTACATTCTACAACAGTAAAAATGACACATTTCTGGAACTAATTACATAGATTCCTAATTCAAAGAGAAATATTTCGACCCATACTTACAGAGCAGTTAAAAAGCAGTATTTCCTGATGAATTTTCTGCATTTCAATACGTACAGAGCAGATAGTTTACAATGGTTGGAAGGGCTCTTTCCCCAGAATCTGTAAGTTTGTATGACTTACAGCATTAAAAATAAAAAATAAAAAAAAATAATAAAAAAAATGCCACCTAAAACTGCAGGGAAAACTTACTAAATTTTCCAAACTTGGTAGTACATGAATTTCTGCTTTTTATTTTCGAATTACTGCAAGATATATATCAGATTGCCAGATCTAATTACATCGAAATACTTACCAGGTAAGAACTGTAAGTAAGAGATGATGAATGACATCCAATCACAAACAGATTTAGTAGGGAACGTTTTCCACAGTGAAGTAAACAGAAAACATGCCTCAGTTTCAAGTTTTCTTACCTTCTTCTACTACCAGCCTAATTGTATTGGTGCTGTGGTATAGCTTTCCTTCACGACTGATGGAAATTTTGCAGGTATATATACCAGAGTGCTGAACTGATAAGGTTTTAAAATCCAGTTCCCGTCCCCTTTCATTTTCATAGTTCTTACAGTCCTGCATCAATAAAGCAAGAAAATATTATACTATATGAAATATATATTCAAAAAAAATTCAAAAAAAATATATATTCAACATCTTAAAACAGACAAAAACAATCTTCAGAATGAAGAATCACTCTTTTACTATCTCAACAGCATTTACCTGACCCAATTTCCAATTACTGTCATTTAAAGGCAACACTTGAACATCCAACCCACTAAAAGTTGAGAGCACTGCCTGAATTACCTTACATTATGAATGGTCAAAGTGGCGAGCAGGGGCCTACCTAAATCTAACGGCTGATTATACCAACACTCCACAGTTACAGGTGCTTCATCTGTTGCCTGTGCATCAGCAAAACTGATCCAAAGATCAGATTTGCCTAAAGTTACCTGAACTAGGTCTGATACAAATTCTGTAAAACATGTTCAGAAACAATAAAATTTCAAAGCTTCTCAATAACTTTACAAGCACGTGTCTACAGTTAAACAAATACCTTGGCAATTCATTTAGTGTCAGGATGACACCTATATTGGCAAAACAGATAAACAGGCTAACAGACATGCACATCAGATCTTCTTCCATTCTAAACTACCAGTAATTTCTGATTAAAGGTATTATTTCTAACAAACTTGATAACAGACAGAAACTTTATTCTGTGTATCTCTCTGAAGACTTATTTCCACAATAATTTGGAAAACTAAAGCATTATTGGATTTTTGATGGTTCTAAAAATCTCTGCAATTCACTTTTCCTGCAATTAGATGTTCTATCAATAGATGTTCTATCAATAGACAATGCTTTGATTTTTTGATTACCTTATACCATGTTATGCTGTCATTTTCATTGACAGACAGATCATTGCATTTCAATGAATGACCAGTTCCAGCATTCTGAATTTCAGTTGTTAAATGATTTTGATTGAAACAGCTGCTTCTATTTCTTTCAAGTACATTCAAGGTCCACTTTTGAATTGTGAAATTTCGTTTTCCACTGCTATGAAGAAAGATTTGCAAAACCAGTTTTAAGAGCTTTTTAAAGGAATTCAGCTTAGCAAGCTACATAACAAAATAAAAGTAAGTCCTTCAAGCTATAATAGGTAAAAAATACATGTACTGTGAACTGATTATTTACATTCCCTTTATTAGTCTTCCATCTCAAATGTGTTATTTCCCACAGTAAAAGAGGTAATCTAAACTAAATTACCTATCACAATGCATTTGACAATAAAATTATGTTATGAAATATGACAACACTGTTCTTGTTCTGGTAGATGTAGTACAAGATATATCTACCAGAACAAGAAATCAAATATCTGTGGCATCATACATAGTTAAACATGGAAATAAAAGAATTTAAGTAGCATGAATCAGCTACTGATCTTGCAGGTTTAATTTCCCATGCTTTTTAAGGTCTAAAGTAGTAACTGAGAAATCTATTTATTATAAAAATATTAAAAATAAAATAGGCGATTCTGGTTTTGTTCACAAAGTCCTGTTTTTTCATTGTTTAATACTGTGGAGATAATCACCAAAATTTTGGAAATATTTCTAAACTCTGCAAGTCTCATGAATTACTGAATCACTTACAAATTTAAGCATGTCTTCAAAAGAAAGCATTTTTGAAAGAATTAATCTCATTTTAGTCTCCACTGAACAGAGCTCTACAGTTTGCTGGCCACCACAGGTGGATAGAAGAGCCAGCAACTCTCTCTTCTAAAGCAATTTCATTACATCTCATATCTATAAAAGGAAATGTAAATATGCTGTAAAAATGCCTCTTCTAAATCTCTAGAAGCTGACCATGATCATCCAGATATCTACTATATTCTACTTGCATTTTTCTCTAAAGGTTATAGCTGTAATATTCCTTTCTGAGCTGTTATATTTCTATCACTTGTGATTCTTTTGTGATAGTTTTTGGGCATACACAACAACTTCTGGCTTGACAAACTTTCCACCTCACCCACCAAACCCACAAAAAAGGAACAAAAAACAGCTTGACTCAGGAAAGCATACAGGGAAGTGAAAGCCCTCAGGGCATATAATCCAAGTTTACCATAAAGACTGCATACATACACAGTTCTAAGCTGTTTCAGTGCAACAATCCAGTGTTACATTAGTATTTCAATCTGCAAAACAAAACTGACAGCCTTCTATACAGTATTATCTCTACATGTGTGCTTTCCCACTGCTTTCAACAGCTCTAAGCACCTTAAAAAATAAGCAGTGTTAGGAACTTATTATATATATCAGGTGTCTGTCATGAATCTCCACACAATAATTTTTTTCAGGAACTCTTTATTTCAAGGTCATTATTACAGAGCCACAAGATGACCTGCTTTCTTGTTGGTTTCTTTGTTGTTGTTATTTTTTTCTCTGCCAACCACAGGAAATAGGTACAAAAACCACACAAATTCGAGATCCTGCCAAAAATGTGTGACACAGATTTCTGTTTACCTCTCCCACATCCAGTGCCTTTGAAATCCTTTATGTTCAAGAGATGTTGCTGAAGGTGGACACGCTCAGACTTTCAGGTGATGTCCACTAATTCCTAAAATTATGTCCTCAGTCTACTGCATTAATAAATGTGCAAACACATCAACATATACATCTTTGGCTATATATGCTATGTCTCAGCAGAACAATTCTGTTGAACTAGAAAACTTCTGATTATTCTTTAAGTAAAAAATAAGTGGATAACACAATATACATACACTGTTACAACATTTTCACCTCTCTCTCCTTGCACATTGTCAGTTGCAACAGAGCAGGAAATAATTAATTAGCTTGCAAAATATGTATCCTGTGTTGTCATATAGTTTCTGAAATCCTGCAGTGAATTTGATTGACACTTTGGTCAATTAAAACTGTTTACCTATGCAGCTAAAAAATCATTTCCCTTATGCCTTACAAATTCTCATATCTAAATTAATTATTTGTTACTAATTATTAATTATCAAACAGATAAGTGAAAATATGCATAGCTTGTTTACTTTTAAACCAAAATTTTAGCCTAATATAAAATGTTATGAAACAAACTTCATTCTGTCAATCTTATTAAATCTTAAATCAATTCAGTAGCCCACAATAATCCACAGTTCTTCAATGTCAATTAACTCCTGAAAGTCCTCCTTCACTACAGAAAACCGATTCTGCAAATAGTCTTCAACTGCTCTTAGTATGCTTTCCTGTACTGAGAACCATCAGAAAAACTAATCTCAAGATACAGTGAAAATCCCATTTAAAAAAAAAAAAAAAACCCACCATAAAACTTATTGTTCCAATACCCTTCATTCTAATCTTAAAAACAAACAAACAAAAAAACACCTAATATCTGTATGGGTCTAACATGGAGAAATTCTAAATAAATAAATTAAAAACTGTTTCAGGGTGCCAAAATATTTTCTTTTAATTCAGAAACTTTTTTTCTCATAAATAAAAATGCTTTCTTCTATAACACATTTTTCAAAAGTAGTATCATAATACAGCATGTTAGAAAATGAAAAAAGGGTTTCGTAACAAAATCAAAACTCAATTGCAAATGAATACTTTGATAAAATCAAAAACTTTCTTCTGAGTTTCCTTCTTAGGTACATCAGATAATCACAATATTTCACAGAGGATCACTTCTGTGTTATTGAACAAATAATCATGTTAACAAACTCTATCCTAATAATTTTATTCAGGATCTTTTCCCATCACCTCCTCATGGTCTGATAAGGAATACCACAATCACTTGAGGCCCAACCTTACTTCCCCTTTTGACTTGTGATGTTCTATGGGGGTAAGAAATTTAATCCAATTATTTTATTTGATCCATGAACAGCTCCAGGTATGCAAGGCTTTGCACAGAAACCAGAGTTCATCTATGCTGCTGTTACTTCATTCCACATTTAATCAGTAGACATCACAGCACGAGCTCCACTCAACACAGGAGTGTAACACCAGTAAGAACAGGTCTGGTGTAGAGGACAAGCAAATTATAGAATTAAAGAATGGTCTGGGTTGGAAGTGACCATAAAGATGATCGATTTCCAATCACCCTTCTGTGGGCAGGGTTGCCATCCACTAGATTAGGTTGCTCAAAGCCCCATCTGACCTGGCTTATACCACTTTAAAGATAGGACAACCACCACTTCTCTGAGCAATCTGTTCCATTGCCTCACTACCCTCATAGTGGAGAATTATTTCCTAAAATGTTTCCCTTTACTTGGCAGTTGACAGGAGTGTCTGTCTCTCCTTATGCTTAGAGAATTAGCCATAAAACATCAAAAAATGCTACTTGTTTTATCCAATCTTTGAAAGGCAGTATCTGCCTACAGTTATTTGAATGTACTACAAATCCCTTTGAGTGGTGACTGAGAAACTGTGACACCACAGTTAATGTAGTTTTCCACACTTCCTTTGTGTGGATACCACAAACAATACAAAGCAAGACAAAGAAATTACCACATTCATAGATAAGGGCAAAGGAGGATGCTCATCCACTGGCTGTGTACCCACCTTTGAGTGACAAAGTAATTCCCAGAGTCACCAAGTTCAGCTGGCCAAAACTCCAAAAAATTCATTTGGGATACAATTCTGTGTGTTTCATTTATTCGCTTCTGCCTTCCAGCACTTTCTTTGTACCAGTTTATTGTGTATTCTTCTTTCCAAGAATGTTGTAGTTTTGACTCAGGAAAACAAAGGTAAAAATACTCCCCTTCTAGTACATCAATGGAGGCACGAAGAGGACACAACTTCTCTTCAGAGAAAGAGGAAAAAAGGCTTAATACTCTTTCAAAAAATAATATCAGCTTGACTTTAAAGTGATCTGCTGGGTAGCAAGTCTTTTATAAAACAACTTTTATTTTTTAGCAGAGTAGACTGACATAATTTATTTGTTCCAACAAAATCTATTTCAGTCTATTTTACTGAACCAAAACTAGATGACATACAAGGATAAAAAAATGGACATTTCCCTAAAATTCTTTCACGTGGGTCCAAAATGGGCATAGATGGCAGAATTTGGCCTCACTTTATAATAAAGCAGCTGCCACAAACAGAAAATTTCTTCATGTGGTTGGACTCAACAAAGATGGCTAATCCTCCTAACTGATCAACTGCCATAAAAGCAGAGTCTATGAATTGAGGTGTACATTTCCTTCTTAATTAATGCCCAATAATTACATGCTAAGATTTCTTTAAAGCTTCGTATCTTTAGAAAATTTATCTCCAAACAAGGTTCTGTGTGAAAAATCTAGTCTCAAAGTCTGCTTTTCTAATCAAATTTTCCAAATGTACTTTCGCATGTGAAAGTCATATGAAATACAGAAAAGGAACCCCGGTCTAGCACAAATAGTCAATAATAAATAAGCTTTCAATCCTATTTGTCCTAGAGATTGTCTTTCTCTAGCTGTTATTGAGACTACACTTCTGAATGCCACAGAGTCAGGATCATTTTCCTCTTTGCTGCAGCTCTCCATACAGCCATGCACCTGTTCAATAGAATTGGAGGTCTCTATCCGTCTTCATCTCTAGTGTATTTAATTCATAGTTTTGTTACTATAAATGACATTTCCAAAGTCTGGAGCTAGGCTGAAACTGAAAAAAATTAAGATGTTGTTCTTAAATGCAAAGTACAAAAATCTCAGTCTGAAAAACTATCATGATGTCCTTATTTTGGCAAATATTTTGAAGGTTCTACTGTTGAAAAGAGGATTTATACTTACCTGTGGCTGTTTCAGTTATAAAAATTAACAAAAAAACCATGAGATTCATTTCCTTGAGTTACTTCTCACTTTTCTCCAGAAAAAATGAAACTGAGTTCTTCTTGGTCACACTGAAAGCCTAAGGAAAATATACTCACAGTTCATCACAAGTGCAATGATACAGACCGCTTTGAGCATAGTGAGAAGCACAATTAATGCCCATTGTGCCAATGCAGAGGGCCTTTCAAATGGAAAGTTACTCATTTTTACCATAACAGGTATTTTGATGTATCAAGTCATGTATCTAGGTTTTCCTTGGCAGGTTTTATTTCAAATTCAGAAAACAATGACGGGTTTCCTTCCTTCATTTTCAAGATTGCTTAATGTCCTTTGTATTCCTGATTAAATTGACAGTCTTTGAGGAACATCTACATTTGGATTCCAATCCAATACAGTGTTCTGTGGTGTTTTTTTTTTTCCTACAAAGAGTATGGTATTTGCAAGACAAGACCTTACAGAAACACAGCTAATAAATTCCCTTATTTTCCAGAAGAATAGCGCAACATTGATAGATCAGACATTCAGGTGTCTTTTTAAACCGCTGGAAAACAGCGAAGGCTATAATTTTGTCTTACATTTTAATCTGTTGAGCAAATACGTACCAGCTGGGAATGCTCATGCTTTCATCTGGGGGCAAACAAGGGCAGAGCCAGTCCTACGACCATGCTTCAGTTCTGCTAACACGGCAGAAAGCATAGATGCTGATTTCAGCCAATACAAATGCCCTTAGTCATCAACCTAATCATCAACCTGAACATGCATGTACAATATGACGTACTCAAGAGAGATTTTTCACACACAGCTATCTCTTTGAGCATCCCATTTGTCTTTTCAACCTAAAACTTTTGCAATTTGAGAAGATACATACTTACTTTTGTAAGACACCTGTCTGAAATTTACTGCCAAAAACTTGCTGCGATATAAACAAGCAGGATGAAGTAGACTATTGCATTTCAAGTAATACTCCAGAATTACATCAAGATATATAGCTGCTTTCCCCTCAACTCATTACAAGTGTGCCATCTTCCCATAAATAACTGTAAGAAAATGAAAGAACTATTTCACATCCCTATTTTTCAGACTGACTGGTAGACAGATCCCAATTTAGAAAGCAGCAGAAAGCTGGGTGCTGAATACTGCAACAAGCAACTCTAAGTGGCCATGCACTCAGACCTGGTTTTGGTTCTCTTCTGTACATGGAGAATCAAACTATTATATTTTATGGGGAAAAAAAAGAAGGGTCTCTCTGTCTTGAATTTTCTTTTCATTTTCATCCTTTCACATCTACAACAAATACAATTGTCACAGACAATGAAACCATGATCCACTATATTAAGATAAAATTATATATCGTCAGATTATAATTCTAAATCCCATTTTTTATTGGCACATCACATCAGCACAAAATTGATGTTTTGATGAAAGCACAGTATAGCCCTTGGTTCTTGGAATAGGAATTAAAGAACAAAATCTGATCCAAACTACTTAGTAATAACCAGGTTTGAGATACCTGACTACAAATACCAAGTAAAATACACCACCTTAGTCTTCATCTTATGCTGCTTTTGGACCTGATGAGTTTGTCCAAGCTAGAAGTATTTTTTTTTTGAGCCATATAGTTGGCAGTACTCTTCAGTGGAACACCAGGGAGGACAAAAATATATATATATATATAATTTAGGTAAAATTCAACTACAATCAGTATTCTTCAAGGAAAAGAATAAGGTCTTTAACATTCCGAAAGGAATGGGGTGATAATATAAGGACAATGATTCTCAGAAGAAGTACAAAAATATTCACAGGGCAAAATAGCAGAGGATGAGAGATTCAAAGACAAAAGTTAAAAACAAAAATGACACAAAGTTGTCTGTAAGGTGTCTAAAGGAGCAGCAGCTTCAAGCATGTTTTTCAAATTTCCCACATGCTTAAAGCTACAGCTGGACATCCAATTATAAAAACAGTTCTTAGAATCATCGTGTCATCTCTAACACATTAAAATCTTAAAGCAAACGTGAGCATTCCAAATCGTGCAAACTGCATTAACTCTATGTTATGAAGTACATAGGCTGATACACCGAGATGTTTTGGTGGTGTAGCTCATTTTGATAAACACTACTGGAAACTGGAATTTGTATCCCAAAGGATTGTGGCATTCTTTACAACAAAGCAAAACAAACAAGAACAGATCCTTCTGAAACTCAGACTGTTTGAACAAATGTCTGGAGGGTCAGTGAGGAAGCCAGTAACCTCACCTCTTTCAGGAAGGCTTTTTGGGGAATGCCAGCCTCTTTCACGCGTGACTATATAGCACCACAATTCACATGGGATTCATGAAGAGAAAAGATCTAGAAGGCAGTTATCAGAACCTTGGTATGTCTAAACACCATCCTGTCAGGAAAACAAGATATTGGTTAAAATAAAAATCCACCTAAATTTCCAAACAAGGAAGTGTTTACTCACGACGCAGGTTGATAGTGGATGCAGAGAGGTAACCTTCCAAACGGCAGGCAGTTACAGGCTGCACTCACAAACCTTCTGAATTCAGCACTGAAACACAGCGATCTCGAAGTGAGTCAATACGAAAACAGCCCAGACTGAGAAACCTTCCGAAAAAGCAAGAGTGGAATTATCACTTTTTTTTTTTTTTTTTTTTTTAAACTGTTGAGCACAGGGAGGAGAATGGAAAAGGCAGAAGTGAGATTTTCACTTTTACTTGTATGGCTCGGAAAAGTAACAGCAATTTCTGAACGTGAACTCTTCTAAAGGAAGCATTTGAGAGAGGCACCCTACACACCAGGAGCCCGCGCAGCACCGCCCCTTCCTGCATGGTGCAGCGGAGCCCGGCAGGGGGCGGGCGCCTCCCGGTTGAATTAGAAGGCAGCAGCCCGGGCAGGGGCTGTGGGTTGTGGGTTGGGATTACCTGGCTTGGAATTACCTGGCTTGGAGAGTGCTCCCGGCTACCAGCTGCTGCAAGGTGAAACCTGGCGGAGTGCCGTGCCTGCAATTGGGGCAAAATGGGCTGTGTCAGAAGAGAGACCTTTACAGGATGAGAGGGTGCACGGTGATGGCTTCGTTACTTTTGGATGGAAACACCTCTTCCTCTGCTCTTCTGCTGAAGGCTTGTGGCGGGACTGTGTTCTGAGAAGTGTGATGAAAGAAGGATGGAGCTTCAGGAGTGTGCATATCAGGCTAAAAACAGCAGCTTCTATCTCAGCTACAACTTCCGTCCCTCCTCAGTGGCCCTTTGAGGATGAGAGTGTTCTAAGAGATAAACAATAAAGCTGATATGCTGCAAAAAGATATAAAAAAACCACAAAGCCTGACAAATTACGATCTGCAGGAAAAGACAAAATGTGCTCCCATGCAAGATTCTCCTGATTTCAGAGCTGTTCTTTCTGTCCCGATGTCCCTTTTGGGGGTGGATTGACACAAGGTTTTGAGACACAAAACATCATAATTCCATTCTTCTGAAAGGACCATTCACCCCTAAGTAAGCCTCATGCTGACAGCTGACTGGTTGTAGGCCAAATGCTCATCTGCTGAAACTATGGTTTCATCAAGGATTTCTGAGAGTTGTGTTTCATGTTTAAGTGCTGTTCCTGCATGAGTGTCTGCCACTGTTTATTTCACACCAATAGTTTTTCTGATAGGTACTGAGTGATGACTTGAGATCTGCTTCTAAATGAATTCATTTTGATAACAGCAGAAACAAATTAATCCCATTGGGATTTCCTTTGTTTTTCGTATTACACTGCTCATCTTCAGAAAACTATTTGGTAATAGTCACCCTATTTCTGTTTTTATTACTTTTTACAGAATTTCCCAGTAATGACAGGAGATGTCTGTGAAAGTGGAAGGGGCAAGTTACTCTAAACAGGGAGGGATTCCACAGAGCTGGCATTTTGCAGATTTTGCTGCTGAGGTGAAGCTGAGAAACTCTGGAGAGTTTTGCTGCCTCACCTCATCAGTTTTTCTCATCAAAGACAATCTATATACAAACACAATCAGACTGTTAGACAATGTAAATCAGAACTTTAGGTAAGTCAGCTGAGAATCTGACTCACTGTAAATACTTTTAATTACATTTATTTACATTACATTAATTATTGTAATTACTTACAATATTTCACAGTGTTTATTGTTCTTAAGGCTCAGTACCTGATTTTAAAACTTAAAAGAAAGCATACGTATACTGTAACAATTTTACATTTTACACCATATACTGATAATGATTTTACACGAGTCTGAAAGCAGTTTAGCAGACAAGGAACTGGTAAAGTTAAATGTCATCAGCTATTTACTTTGACAGGATAAGACTTGATAGTGACAGTTCAGATACTTCTGTTTTATTCACTTTTTACAACAATATTTTCCATGAGTTGTTCTCATATTCATTTGCTTTTGAAATACTCTGAAGTTTCTGAACTTTCAGCTGCATTGTGGAAAGTTGTGCATTTCAGCTAATGTCGTAGCTAGCTTTTTGTGCCTTGTGAATGTATGCAGAATCAAGTCTACAGTTTTTCAATACAATTTTTAATGGAGAAGTAATAGGCTTGTAATAGCAAAGTAACTCAGCTGTGAAAATAACTACAGCTCAGTGTGACATGGTGAAAATGCCATGATGAAAATGGAAGTTCACGCTGATATTGAAAATAGATGTTTCTGTGAAGCTCCACCAACGAGTCAGCCCTAGCTGATTACTCTTTTCCATCCACCACACATTACGGAGGTGATAACTGAAACTGTGAAACCGATCCTTTGATAAAGAGCAACACATCCAGCTCTTGTAACCACAGACTAAGATTGTTCTTTCTTCTAACTGGTTGTACTTTTAAGTTTACTTCTGCCATCTCTGCACATGAGCTACACTAATTCTTAGCTGAGCATTAAGTTATATTCCAATTTTTTTATATATATAACTACCTATCCCTGATGTCAAAAAGCAGGTTCCCAACTGATAACATGTCCGCAGGAGCCTCAGAAGTTTTTCAAAAGTTTTATAATATGCAGGCTGCATGTTTTTCAAACTTCCACAGCTCCTATGGACAGCATTTGACCATCTGTCAGTGAAAACTTTCTCCTGATTTCTAATAGAAATTTCCCATGTTCTACAATATCACTTGCTTTTTGTAATCCCATTCCTATGGTCCTGATAAGATCTGGCTAAGATCTGTATGTAAGGTTCTTTACCTTTCATACAGATTCCCGTAAATAGAAATATGAGATCTTGTTCTTTCCCTCAACATCCTGTGCTCTTGGAGGTGTTTCCCAGCACTCGCTCCAGTATGTCAGCTGTTGTCCTTCTTTGTCACAAAGCACACTACTGACTCAAACTCACCTCAGTGTCCACTGGGACCTACTGTCTTTACAGCAAAGCTGCTTTGTACTGTGTTGATCCCTAGGCTGTATTGCTGAGTGAGAATTTTCCAACATAGACAGCACTTTGCGTGTGTCTTGGGTTGAACCTTGTTGATATCACTGTTCTGCTGTAATGCAAAATAGCAGCCCTGCTACTGCAATGGGTCAATAATCTCTTCTTGGATTCATTTTATGTCTGAAAATCTGCTTCTATGATGATCTGTCACATTTCCAAGGTCATTTATAAGGATAATCAGGAGTATTAGTACCAAAATTAGGTCCCAAAGGATGTCACTAGTAATTTAATGTGAGCCGAAGTTTGTGTGCTGATCACAATCTCTTGATCCAGCATAAGTTGACCATATCCAAACTGAATTATCTCCAAAAAGGGAATTTCAACAGCCTCTCAGAGCACCCCATGTCAGTGCTCAGCCACCACACAGTTATCATAGTTTATATTGACAGGAGCTAGGTGTCATACCATAGAAGTTACCAAGATCTTCACTATTGACATCAAGAAGTGAACAAAGTCAAAGCTCATTCCTGTCTCTTACATGTCACATGCCAAGAAGATTCTTCTGTTCCTTTAAAACATAAGAAGGTGAATTCTCAGTGTCAGATTCTGAGCTGAGGTATGGGTACCAGGAGATTGTGTATGATCACCCTAAAAATTTCTGTGTCTATTTCTAACAGTATTCTTTATTTGATTTCGAGTTGTCCACAATCTTTTGGTAGCTGTTCATCCACTAGATGTCATACTGACTCTTCTCAATTAATGAAAGCAAATTGGTTTCCTGATTCACTTTTTCAGTGGTACCAAGAATAGGGAACCATAAGGCAGAAGTTAAAGGGCATTAAATCTCTAGGTGAAAGTTCTAATTCTATAGCAAATTTGTTTTTCGCTGTTTAGTTTAAGTTTTGAGCATCTGAAGATTTGTGAGCTTTTTATAGAGACATAAGAGATTTTTACACAGCACACACTTTCTTTTCATTATTCCAGATTGCATGGTGTAGTTTCTATGTATCCAAGAAAATATGAAATACAAAAAAGCCAATTTAGGTACTCACTAACTTGTGTGTGTTATAAAAGAGTACCACAATTCTACAGCTGTGATAATATTTGTAGAAAGATACTGAGTATCTGATTTTTCCACTAACCACCAAGGAATATAAAAAGAAGTGACAGCAACTGCATTTCTCTGCCATTACTGCAGTCACATACTCATCTCTAGGATCAGTAAAAGGTTTTTGCTACTCTCAGAGTTTACCCCTTTTCTTTCTTTAAGGGTAGGTAAAAAACATTTAGAGTTCTTGAGCACTTCTGGTATTATTTCCTTGTATTTTCTTTTTGTTAGCCACAAAGTTTGATGCAAAAGAATTGCCACCACAAGAGCTGATTACTGGGTTTATTTTTCACCATTCCGCTCACACAGCTGGTGTACAGAAGTCAGTAAGATATCCCCTGATTTTAGAACAGCCCTGCATTTCCCCATTGTACCTTCTCTTCCACTTCTCCTTCTCAGCTCCAAAATTCAGTTACAATCATTCCTTCCTTCCCACTTACCATCCTTTCTTCTTTCCTTGTAAGTGCTCAGAACACACATTCTGTTAAAAACTGATTTTGTCTTTGTCTTGAAAGAGAATATTTTGTCCTCATTGGAAGTTGCTGTAAAAGATTTTCATAGTGAAAAGCAGCTGGGCACACTGCCTGTATACATGCCTTAGTACTAGTATTCTTTCCATGGGAAGAAATTGTACTGTGGCAAACATTTAAACCCTGACTAAGTCTGTAATAAACCAGATCTCTTTGGTGGGCACAAATCCATTCTGTGGAGCTTCCCAAGAGACGGTGATGTGTATCTAGAGAGATCTTTAGGAACGAGTCCTAGTACTGAATATGATCTAATGAGAGAGTGATAAAATGCAGCATTAAATGCTTTACAGTTGTGGTGATGTGAATAATCAATACATGAGCACTTGAAAATACAATAAATCAGAGAAAAGCTGGTTTGCTTCCATTGTATTTTTAATGTCATGTTGAAAAAACATCAACGCATATATTTCACATAAAGTCTTCCTACTCCAACAGCCATCCATAAATCTGAAATTCCATACTCAGTAAAAATCTACACTGTACAATAAAAGGATGTGGTAGCGTAAGACATTCTAATTTTCACTTTTCGAGTCCATCTCTATAGTTAACTGAAGGTCAAAACCAGGTCTTCTCTGACTAAAATTAATAATCTGTATTTAAGAACCTAAAAAGATTAAATTTCCCAAGGATATATGCACTAAAACATGCTTTGTTCATACATTCCTGCATTCAGAAGAGATTTCATTCTGACCTTTGCATCTCAGGATATTCTCTGTCAGAACAAAGTATAACAAGGAATAAGATCAAAGAAGGGGGAAGAAGAGGAATACTGGCAATTATAAAATTGCAGTGAGTCTCTATCAGTAGCTTAAATGAATGCTATCAATGTACAAAATAGTAGCATATCTAAGACTATCATACTTGATAGATCTAAAATACTGCTACTTATAAGAATTTAAATATGTAGCAGCTTTCAAAACAAAATCACTTTTGATGTCTCTATAAAATAATTTCTCCTTTTGTGAGTTTCTCCTTTTCTCCAAAATTCTCCTTTTGTGACTTTTATGTGTGAATATATTTAATATATATTGGTCGATCAGTATGTGTACATTTTCCTTTAGACTGCATTTCTAATAAATGCTGTATTCACATTAGTCTCTAAAGAGCCTCTCTTGAAGCATCCCTGCTAAGGAAAGATTAAATTTCATGGTATGAGTAATACTACTGAATCAAAAAGGAACACATGGTGGATAAAGTGAAGAACACAACATGATAATTTCCAATCAAATAGGACAGAAGGCATTTATGTTTGATCGACTGTATTAGAAAGATAAAGTAAATCTACAGAATATTCAGAACCAAAAATTCAGCAATATATACAAGTATATATAGGAAGGGCATGGGTAGATTCTGTTTCCTGTGATGTGCAAAATTCTGTTGTCTGCCTGGAATGATTCACTTACAGAGTTCTCAAACCTCAACAAAATTCCCTCAGCTCCAAGACCTTCTCCATTCATTTCCCTTATCGTTACTCAACCGGGTGGCTGAAAGATGTGGGGGAAAATGCAGACATATGTCCAGGCTGCAAAATAATGTACCTACTGATAGCAAAAAGAAAATCATACACTGATGGTTCAACTTGATGAAGTACCATTTTCTTGGGTAGACTGCTCACCCAGCATTAGCTGGGTCTGAGGATCTGAACGTCACTGGCATGTGGTACCTCACGTGTTTCCAGAACTTCGAATTGGATGACTGTGGGTGCACAGTGTGCTGCTCTTTCCATTTGACAGTACCTTGACGCTTGATGATGTACCTAAGAGATTCCTGAAGATTCTCATAAGTCCCCATCTTCTCCATTTCCAGTAGGATCACCTTTGTATCATTTTGAATGAGGGCATTATATAAAGCAATATGTTGATCATAGTTAAGTTCTTGACAGTTAATCAGCTGCTGTGTGAGAAGGATGATCAACCGTCTGCTCTTCTGTATCCTCTTCTCAATTGCATTCGCTTTATCTAGTAATGCACACAAAAAACCAGTAAGACTATGAAATTTCCTTCATAGTCACTATATATGTGTAGATGCTTCATTTCTTTTATTCTGTAATTAGAAATAACCAAATAACCTTTGTATTACTTCTGTCAGGTACAGTTTATACGTTAGGGAAAAAAAAGGCTTAAAAATCTCACAGTAATCAAAGTTTTCTTTCAGGTGTTTTCTTTAGTTGAAATCTTAATGTTTGCACTGCTCTTAAGAGCTGTGAGGAATTTCTAATTCAATTGGTCAAGTTCAGTAGCTCTTGCACCGTATTTGTGCTTGAACAGTAATTTCCGTCTAAGAAAGTATGTTCTTAAGTTTTGGGCTTTACGGATTGATCCTGGAGTACTTACACATGAAGACTAGTCTTTTGGAGACCTCACTGTGGCCTTCCAGTAATTTAAGGAAGCATATAAACAGGAGGGGGAATGACTGTTTACAAGGGTAGATAGTGATAGGATAAGGGGGAATGGTTTTAAACTGAGACAGGGGAGGTTTAGGTTAGATATTAGGAGGAAGTTTTTCACACAGAGGGTGGTGACGCACTGGAACAGGTTGCCCAAGGAGGCTGTGGATGCCCCATCCCTGGAGGCATTCAAGGCCAGGCTGGATGTGGCTCTGGGCAGCCTGGTCTGGTGGCTGGCGACCCTGCACACCCCCCCAGCAGGGGGGTTGAAACCAGATGATCATTGTGGTCCTTTTTAACCCAGGCCATTCTGTGATTCTATAATTATGTGATTTCAGTGGCTTACTTCTAAGAAGCTTGTTTTCATTTAGAGGGTGTACTAATATCCCTGAGCTATAGAATGCTGATTTATATGCAAGCCTGTGCAGTGGGCTGGCATCTGCTCAACATTCATACATCAGCATGACTAAAGGTGTTTTGCTTTCCCTCCGCAATGTTAGAGACAGCTGATCAGTCACAATTAGATCTGTGGTGTTGGGTGTTGTACTTAGAAACCTCAAGAACTGGCACACTGTGGGAGAAAGTTCTAGATAAGGAAGGGTAAGGAAGATAACCCCATGAATGACTCCTCTGACCTATTTATTGATGATGAGAGCATTTTCTGCTGACAATTTGCCTTTCTTTGAGGTTCACTGTCTCTCATTCCTGTCATTTTCTTCTTTTTTTTTCATTAGATTTCCATAGTATTAGAATAGATCATTTGGAAGATGAGAAAAACTAAGATCAGCAGCTATTTGTGTATATTTAGTTTCCATAACTGTGAGGGTTTAAAAATATGTATTTAATGGGTTTGAAGTGCAGTCCACTGAGCTCAAGACTGAAAGATGATGCAACTTGGGGAGGTATGTAGTTCTGCATTTGGATTTCTGATGCCACACTTATGGCAATGTTGAGGATAGGACTGCAAATACTTCAACAGTAGAAATCATTATATTTTGTGGATATCAGAAGTTATATGATTTCAGAAAGTGGCAGAAAGCAGTGTGGAATTAAAACAAAAAACAAAAAAACAAAAAAAAAAAAAAAAAGGAAGGAAGAAAAACATCTGCTGTTACAAATAGAAATTCCAGCATCTGAAGTCCACAGATTACTGGGAAAGTGCACTAGGTGAAGTATCATATAAACCTGCACTGTTCTTAAGCTCTTTTCCAGTCATTTGCCAATGGTCACTGCTGATGGTAAGACACTTGGCTGCATAAAACATTCATCCAGTGAAGTATGATCATTGTTATGCTATTTTCTCATGTTTCTGTCTATTACTGATACAGCAGCTCTGGCACCAGTTAGATTCTGTGTCAAGGAAAGTGGCTGACAAGACAATGAGACTGTGAAAAGAGTGGAACAGAAGGTAATGTTGGTGAAACCTCTTGGTTTTGGTTTGTTTTTTTTTTTTTTTGCAAACTTGTTTTTGTACTTTCCTGGGCATCTGTTAAGTTGTAAAAAATTCCCTAACTCTATAAAACTAGAAAACAAAAAAACGTAACTTAAGGAAAACCAGTGGGAGTCCAACAGCTATACAGCACTGTTTATCATTTGAATTCCTTGTATTGGTTTTCATTACTATTACATTACAGCACAAAATTAAAGCTCTCTGGAACCAAGAGTCATAAACAATTCTTGAAACAATAATTCCATTTTACATCCTCACTGCATTTTTTTTTTTTTTTTTTCTGGAAATACACAGAGTTTTACTGGGAAAAAATATGATTCACCAAATGGTAATTTACATTTTCAGGAAGGATCACAATACCTCCAAGTGGCATTTGCTGTAAATACTAGTGATTTACTCTGTGGTTGGCATATTTTAATTATGAAGTTTGGGATTTGGAAATCTGGCTCAAGATCAGAAGGTAATCAAGAGTGGGGAGTTTGGTAAAGTAAATATGTCTGAAATCAGACAATTTTTAAGTGCTCTCCACGACAGACTGGTTCTGAACAGCTTTTCTACAGAACTGGAAACATTTTGAGGCATGAAAGTGGACAAGAAAGGCAATTGCAGACGGCAGGGAATGTAAGCATGGAAAGGAAAGGGACAATGGTCAGTGCCAGACAGGAAGGGATGTCCGCTGCTTTGATGGCTGTGAGTGAACTTGGTCTGGCAGTTGACACCAGCAATACTCTCCCTTACCAAGTTAAGAAGACCAAGAGGCACCAAGAGGTGCCTTGGCCCAGAGTTCACGTGTTGGAGGAGGAACCAGGTCCCCTATCTGCTAGTACTGAAGAGAGGGAAGGGAGGTCTCTGTGGTGCCAGACAGCAATGCCCCTCGGGCTCATGCTGGGATATATATGCATTTGTGCTTAATACTGTAAAAAAAAAAATAAAATAATTCAACCTTTTCATTGTTGTCAAAATTAGTTTTGTTGATGTAGTTGACACCAACTTTATGATAGTTGTAATTCTGTAATTGTTCAGAAATTTTTAATTTCAAAATTATAAAAAAATCTGATAAAATCAAATGGGAAAAATATATATATATAAACTTATTGTCCTAGACAGGCTTAGTGAGTCTTCATTGTGCTTGGGTTACAAGCATCTACTAATGCATTTGCAGACTGAAAATGTCTTGGTTTTCAGCCAACATACTAGAGCCCCTGTTAGTCACACAGTTTGTACTTCATTTGCGTGCTATGCTCTGTTTTCTCCAGGAAGGTTTGAGAATAGTATCCCATAAGAGAATACTGCCCTGAGCAAACAATGGTGTATTGTTTTGCCATTGCCATATTTGTGAGTTTCATTGGTCTGGATCAGGTGGGTGAGGTATAGTATACCTCAGCAACTCTTACAGCTGTCCTCATTCTCATTGCAGTGGCTTTCCTCAAGGCCAGGCAGAACTTTTCTTACTCTCCAGAAAATAAGAACATCAGTGATCTTGGCTCAGCTCTGAGCAGATGAATCATACCTGGCCCAATGCAGATGATTTTGGGTATGTTTAACTCAAAATGAGATATCTTTGGCTTCATGCCTCTTTTCTGATAAAAAAAGAACATCTGGTCTATAGAGCACCAGAGCACAAGACACACAGATCAGCTCTGGTGGAAAGTAGATAGCACCTAGATTACAGCTGATAAGAGAGATAGCATAGAGATGTCCACATGAAAATTAACACTGATTAATTAACAAGATTCCACTTCAGAAAACAAGGAACTGGATGTAAAGAACGCAGAATGTCTCTTGAATTAGCGCTGGGAATTGTATGAAGTGAAAGTAGGTCACCTTGTTATACAGAAGCTGAACTTCCTGTGATTTTAGCACCATTGCCACAGGTTGAAAAACCATGAGTGATAACAGCAAGGTTAATTACTCAGCTCGATTTGTGGTTCTTCTTCTCTTCAGTGTTTTGTAGACCTACTCATGCACGCTTTGTCCAGATAGAGGCAATGCGGACTTGTGCTGTTCGAAGAGCAGGTATACATCTGAAAGAATCACTCTGTGGGTCACATTTCCTGCATCACCCAAGAAGGTGATAAACAATTCGTGCTGCACCCTATGGCTTGCTTTTCTTAGAACTTCAACGAGCGCAGAGTGCTGTTGTGTCACCCTGCCTGACACATCAGACACAGCAGCTGCTGAGATGAGCAACCCGCTCAGGAATGCAAAGGGACTTCCTTCCCTCCTCCACCACTTCAAGGGTCTAGAAACACAGCTTGCTCCAACGCAATAAATAATGCAGTGGATTATCTAATTTGAAACTTACCTTCTCCAGGATATGTATCTCTGCCATAAATGCATAATTTATAGCCACATTTATTTTCCAGAATATCTGGCATAATTTGGTAAACAAAATATTCTACAAAAGTAGCTTCACTGGTGTGGTTCCGGGGGTAAATAACATAGGCATCATATATCTTCCCATCTGCGAGGCAGAACAAGAGGAAAGTATATTAAGTTAACATGAATTAGAGCTGTCTATTGCAAAATAGATCTAAGAAGATTGAAATAGATCTAAGTAGATCTTGCTGCTAATCATAATGAGATACATCACTGAATATGTTTTTGGAAATTAGAGTGTACACATATTTCTATGGTCAACTCTTATGTCCTATGCACTCACCACTTTGGAGAATCTGACCATCACAGTGTGAAAGATGTATCTCCAATCACATAGAGTAAGGATTCGGTGAAGTGGAGATGAATAGCATCAACTGTTATTTCAGCAGTATAACAAGGCTCTTAAATCAGATTTTCAATGTCATTCAGTGTTTCTTTGCAAACAATTTTGTGTGTATTTGGTTTTAAAAGTGAAAACAATATTGAATTCATTGTGTATGTGACACCTCACTGTAGAACCAAGGCAAAAGGTGAATACAAAGCACTACCAGAGCTGTTGGTTCCTTCTTATATAATGATTGCAGAAGTCATGAAAAAGAAAGGATTGGGCTCAGCTGGCATGTAAGTTAGTAAATAGCTATCAGATTTATCCATTTCCATGATTTGTTTTTCCTTTTATTTTAACTTCCTTGTGCAATGCTTACTCACCATCCTTGACTGAATAGGCCTGAAACAAGTCCCGATACAACAGGGTGATATCGACTCGGAAGGACTGATACAGTACAACAGAGACTGCTACTGACATTAACAGAACTAGAAATCCAGCAATCATGAGGACATTAGGACCTGCTGCAAAAACAAAAAAACAAAAACAAAACAAAACAAAAAACACACACACAAAAAAAAAAGAGAAATGAAGCGTTAGCTGCAGCCTTAGCTTCTCTTATCTTCTGCTGTGGCTTTAAGGAGTTTACCCTGATAAAACTCTTTCCTTCCCCAGCTGATATATCCAGCAGAGAGGCCTGTTGCACCTCTGACGTAGAAGCATACTAGACAACACATACTGAATATCCAAGTGTGTTGATCCTAAGTGCACTGAATACCACAGCTAGCAATGATGTCTGTATTTTGTAACACGACCAGCTATGATGTTAAAGCATTTTGCAAGGCAGCTGAGCCCAAGCCTGACAATAGGAAACATCCACACAGGAGCAAGCAGAGGCTTGAGAGTAGTTGCACAAAGAGAGTGCAAAGAAACTTGTGCAAATAATAAAATCTGCAAGATAAGATCAGAGTATGCAAAAAAAACCTCAGGAAGACAGAGTGAATCTGGCCATAAAAATAAGATAAATTACACCAGAAGCAGAGGAGGCTCCTTTCAGAACAAGGAGTATAAAGTATCAATGACAAATAAAGAAAACTGGGAAGAAAGGAGTAACCCACTGTGATTCCAGCTTCTCTCATGGAAGAGCTCTTGAATCTGATCACTTCAGACTCAGAGGTGAAGACTATCAGGGACAGCCATCATCATCTCTGATCAATCATATGCTTACAGTTTAGGATAAGATTGTGATTATCACTCTTTGAGGAAGCTACATTTCTGTAGCAGTCCATAGAGCTATGTTCCTATATTTGCACATTTGTCTTCTTGTTCTGTGGTATATATAGCAGAAGTCAATCTAGATACGCATAGCTTCTAGATGTCATCTAGTTCTGCTGCAGCAAGAGATGATGGGAGGCAGAAGCAAGGTCATTTTGTACCCTCTCCAGCCTAGAAAACAGAAAGCTGTAATGATCCACAGATTATTACAGCCACAGAGCTGAAGAAATTTTTTACCTGTGTTCTGGATGTATTGAAGTCACCTAGACTCAGTATTGAAAACACTGTGAATTCCAGATAACCAAGTTTGAAATTGATATATCAAAGAATGTAATAGCAGTTACACACACAGGATGCATTATTCCTTTGGATGGAAGATTGAAGTTAATTGCTTTACAGAAGAAGTCTACCCCAAAGCAAATGAGAGAGACCTAATTTGATTGCTTGTGATTTTAACATGTGAATTCAGAGCAGTTCCATATACGGTTTTTCTCTGACTGACAAACCAGTTAAGAGAGTTCCATTTGTAGCCCACCTTATTTATCTACTTATTCCAGTCCATTGTCATAATTCGTCGTCCTATAATTGCATTAACAAATGATTTGGAGACTTTTCCAAGACTTTTCTATTATTCAGATCACTGAATTAGCTTGGATTAAAAAAATACGTGGCCTCAGAAGAGTCAGAGTGGGTGATGGAGTTTAATCCCATAGAAATGCATATGAGAAAGAACAGGTTTGCATCATATTTGCATAAAGGAGCCCACCTATGTATTTGTTTTAGTTCAGTGTAGCAAACATAGCAATTGCCTGATGCAGTACCCTGCTTCTGAGTATTAGTAGAACCATGTATCCCTTCAGCATTACTATGGAGTTTTCGGCACGCTTCACAACATCTCAGCTAATGGAGCATGCTTACATGTACTGGTACCATATAAACCCAGACAAGGCTTATGTCTTCAGATCTGGAATCAGATTTCCAGGTCTTTGCCCCCCTCTGACTGTGAAAGACAAAGTATGCATGGCTGCAGCAGCAGCAGGCCATTCACTGGTAGCTGAGGAGCTGCATGTTAGAGCATCCTCAAGAGCCAAGTCCATTTCCTCTACAAAAAAGGCAGCAAGGTGGACTGGAACTATTGGCAGACTGTGTGAAGCTAGCAAATTCCAGTGGAAGGCACTGACCTTTACAACCAAAAAGCAATTCTAGAGCTTCTCTTGGACTCGCCCTGATTGAATGAAATAAGATAAAATGCTTGACAGTGAAAAGCCTCTTGTATTAAAATTAACAGACTCCTGAGTTTTGCAAGAGATCGTAAAATCATCAAGGTTGGAAAAGATCTCTAAGATCATTTGTCCAAACACCTTCAACAAATCTTGTCCACTAAAGCATGTCCCTAAGTACCACGTCTACTCATTTCTTGATCATCTCCAGGGACAATGATGAATAAGAAAGTGCACTGTGGAGGAGATAACCTTAAAGAAATAGACTCTGGGAAATGATACTGAAAAGCTAGATAAACAAAGTGCTTCCAGGTGTATTTACTACTTCACTTAGTAGGAAATGAGGCAACTCCAACAGTGTTTTTAGACTCTTTCTATTTCTTTCTTTCCCATTTAATGGGAGAAAGAAACATCCAACCATGAGGCATCTATCTGATGAAGAATACTCTTACCAGAATTAAGAGATCGGGAAAAAAAGACATTCCAGTAAGATCAAAGTAGACAAAAAAGCCAACCAGTTTCCTTCATAGCAAAGTTGGCTATTTTGTAGTTTTGTGATTGCATCACACGATGCCTACAAAGGAACTTTGTCCATGTTCAAATGTTTGGTTTGATCCATAAACTTGGAAAACCTCTTCCATGACCTACTGAGGATTATCCAAGGGACAGAGATGGTCATTTTTTTTATTGTTTCAGTTGTTGACCCTGGACTTGCCACAACCTTACAGATACTGTTCTAATATGTCAAGCATTTAGAAAGCAAACATAAAAGGAAAAAGGTTCCAACAACAACTTTGGCAGTAATGAACCTAAAAGGAGCTGTTTATTTTTGGCTTTATACTGATTAGACCAATTCTGAAAAAAAATTGATAAACTTCCTGAGCTTGTAAAACTTGTATTGCTTCAGATCAAAACCTCCACTGGAGTCTTCCTGGAAGAGCAGGTTCAGTTCCCAGTATGACTGACTCAGCCTCTCATTTCTCTGGAATAAATCAGATATGGGGCAATGGCCAGAAGCAACTTTTGGAGGCCTTGAACAAGGGTGATCAGATCCTGCTGTTCCATTTAACTTCACTGCAATGTTTAGTGGCAGAGAGTTCACAAGCTGACTGTCATTTAATACTGTTTATTTAAATTCAAGTGGAGTGAGAACACAGAACCATCAGCTCTCAGGAAACAATATTTGAGACGCTAGGGAAAACAACCCAGAAAAGAACATTTGAAAGCTTCTCCTGACAGATGCAGGGAGAACTGCATCTTTTTGTAAGTTCTTTGGCTTCTAAAGGGAACACACTTTCAGACAGTAAAAGTATAGATCTGGGTGTGGAATTCCTGCCCACACCTGTCTACTGAAGATGATCTATAATGTCAGCAAGAAATAACTTTGAGGAAAAAGAGGTCTGGTGTGCTAGGCTGAACTGGGTTAGAATGAGAGGAATTTGGGTCATTCTAAGAACAGAGTGTTCACTCTGGAAGTGTTTGTGGTCCTCCAGGTACTTTTCACTTTCTTGCAGATGAGAACTGATATAAGACAACGCTTGTAAGTCAGACCTATGAAACACGATCATCAGCTAGCCCTGAGTGAAAATGAGGAAGCTGGTGGTGGTTTAGATATTAATAAAAAAGTGGCACTTGGGAGATATTCTGACAGCCCCTGTATCTCTGAGAAGGCAGATAAAGGTAATGCTGAAGGCAAGTTCCTGTTCCTTTCTGCTGGTAGAAGGAGTTGACATTTCCAGTGTTTTTCCACTTGCCGTGGACTCACTACCAGAATCTTTGTTGCCTGGTGTTCAGAAAGACTTGCTATATCCTCACCAGGAAAAGAGGAAGAAAATATAATGGAAAGACATCACAAATTCCTTATGCTGACCAGAGACTGACACCATGTAAGAAGTTACGCAGATGATCTCTGAGATCATGAGATGATGTGTCTTGTGGCAAAGATGGAATGTAAAATATGGGATGATCATCATCTCTGAATTTAAATATGGGAGCATAGAACTAGATGAGCTGGAGGAAGTAAAACAGCCTGTTTCATAGGCTAATTCTTTAAGTTTGCTTCCAGAAGTATTATGAAACATAAAAAATGTGTGGTGTTCTTTTGTTTTGTTTTGTTTTTTAAAGTGTTGGTGAAGAAGACAAAAGATATGAAGCAGTCTTGGGCAAAGAGAAGAGAGAAAGGATGGGAAATAATATTGAAGGAAGGGTTTCATATTGACCAGGGATGGTCAAAGTCTATGCAGGATGAGAAAAAACAGAGAAAGCTTTTCCTCAGCAGGAGAAGTAGCAGCCTCTCAGTGTAACAGTGTGTAGTTTGAATACCACCAAATCACACCAAGCACTGCGTTACTCCTGAAAACCGAGGTACTTGGGTCATGCTGCTCATTTCCAAAGAATCATATAAACATAGAAGCATTGAGGTTGGAAAAAATCACCAAGATCATCAAGAGCTTCTCTTAGCAGCACTTATCTCACAGATCACAGAATCACAGAATCACCCGGGTTGGAAGGGACCTCAAGGATCATGTAGTTCCAACCCCCCTGCCTAGCAGGGCCACCAAACGTACACATTCAGATCAGGTTGCCCAGGACCCCGTCCAACCTGGCCTTGAACACGTCCAAGGACGGGGCATCCACAACCTCCCTGCGCAGCCCGTTCCAGGGCCTAACTACTCTCCTTGTGAAGAACTTCCCCCTAACATCCAACCTAAATCTTCCCTCCTTCAACTTGGATCCATTTCCCCTAGTCCTGCTGTTGTCAGCCCTTTTGAAGAGTTTACTCCCCTCCTGGGTGTAGGTTCCCTTCAGGTATTGATAGGCTGCAATGAGGTCACCCCGCAGCCTTCTCTTCTCCAGGCTGAACAAGCCCAACTCCCTCAGCCTGTCCTCATAGGGGAGGTGCTCCAGCCCCCTGATCATCTTAGTCGCCCTCCTCTGGACCCTTTCCAAGATCTCTATGTCTTTCTTGTACTGAGGGCTCCACACCTGGACACAGTACTCCAGATGGGGCCTCACAAGAGCCGAGTAGAGAGGGACAATCACCTCCCTCTCCCTGCTGACCACCCCTGCTGCTGACCACTCCCTGCTGACCACCCCTCTCCTGATGGAGCCCAAGATCCCATTTGCCTTCTCCATCTCCTATAAAAACACAAGTAAAAACAACAACAACAACAAAAACAACCTTGGGACATACTCTTTCTTCATCATACTGCACTTCTCTTCACACACATATATGAAAATATAAATAAGTGCACAGCACACATCCTGAATAGAACATACACATTTTTCCCTGTGCTTTGTCAGTGATATTCTTTCCTGGCAATGTGAAGGAATGTTTTTTGTTTGTCATAGAGACAAAAGCAAACAGCTCTCACCGCCCTTGGCTGTGATAGAAGCTTTTCACTCCTCTCTGGCAATCCTTCATACTCATGTGGATGGCAATTGTTATCAAAGCAATCTAACAAAACCAGCCATAAAGATACTGCTAACAATGAGCTAGTACTCGAAGTTCTTGATTATGACTCAGAGTGTTAGATTTAATCCCTGGCTTCCTCCGAAAATGCCTTGTGAGCCAAATCATTCATTCAGCACGTTTTTGATGACTGTAAGACTGAAGCAATTCAAATAGAGTAACTCTGGTGCAGTTGCCTACAGCATCTTTGCTTTTTCCCTTAACCTGTCATCTCTGCTGCTATTTAGCTAGTTCATAAAATGCCTCCAAAAGTGATTAATTTCAGTAGTAAATGGAACAACATATACAGATCTCTCACTTCCTATCACAGGTTTGTGCTACAGAGAATAACAATGCAATCCAAACTAAATGCTCTGGGGAAAAATTATCAGAACATAAAGCAGGAATGTGTGAAAAGCACACTGATGGACAGCAGCTAGGAGATGTGAGTTACACTGCGGGAAAAACAAAGGAACAACCATAGACATATTTTAAAAAATAAAAATCTGTGTTGTTTTTTTTTTTTCATTAAAAACAAAAAGAAGCAAAAAAGAAGAGTACACATTTTTATTTCACGTTTACAAGATGTGAGGCACAAGGAATCCCTGAGGCATTTTTATTTTACTCAGAGGCAAGCTATCATTGTTTTAGCACAAAAATGCTATGAGAGGAACAAATGAAGACAACTAAAGCAGAGCACTGCCATTTCTGGATTTAGCCTTGCTCACATCAGCAGTGACGAGCAGCAGAAGCAGGCATCTTGACAGTAGCAGCAACAGGGAGAAGGGGGATAGACATCCACACAACACAGGCAGCAACAAAGAGCTTTCCTGAACATTTACTGAGGACCTATGGATAAAAACAAAATAAGGTTTGTGTGAAGCAGAAATGAGGTTTAATGAATCACTTCATGAACACAAAATACTCATTCCCTTCCCTCATCTAGTTTGCAATATGGGGCCAGTAAGTGTTTTCCATTGCTTGCCCTACAGCTAACAGGAAGTGTTACTTAGTTTCCTTCCCCTTCTTTGCAAGAACATTCCCACAAACATTCCCATAGATACTTCATCACAGTGCTGATGCGCTCTCAGCTTCTGGAGAGATGCTAAACTCTCACTCACCTGGCAACATACAACCAAAACATTCCCTCTCACACTCCTCGGGGGAATTCTGGGATGTCCTCCTCAGTGATGCCCCCTCCTCTGCTATAATCCACCTACAACCTTTCTAATCTCAGCTGCAAGGAAATGTGTCTCTATTTGAAGGCAGTTATGAACAGTGAAAAATACTGCAAGACATGTAGCTATGCAAATCCTGTGATCGGAATAAACTTTATTTTGCTCTTACCACCGTTCTCTCATAGAAAATGAATCCCTCTTTAAGGGCTTTGCGGTTTACTTTCAAGACCTTTGGTGGCTCAGCACATTTAAAGGGATAACAGAGGAAACCACTGACCACCATTTCTGCCAGAAGATTCAAAAGCTGTGGTGCATTTTGGGGATCTGACCATCCCCATTAAGGAGTCCTATAACAGATAAAGACCATCTCAGACCCCATCATTTACTGGACTTAAATGTTCTTTCTCTGTCAGAAATGACTGGAACAATGAATTTAAAAATGAAGCTGAGAGGAAGCCTTCAAAGCGTTACTCACACACTGTGTGGCACACAGTAGGCACAGTGATGTTCATGGGGAATTAACAGGAATATCCTAGAATCAGGGTATGCTTGTCACAGTGCACCATCCTACTATTCATACTTACTCTCTTGTTGAAATGTTGCCCTCCCCCAGCAAGATACCATCCCCAAGGCTGCATTTACCCCAAGGCCTTTCACATGGGAATGAAGCCACAAGAGTTTTGCCTCTGACTTCAATATGTAGGGAGAAAGCAGATTGTTTTTTCCTTCTTTCTGGAAGAACACTTTCATACTACAGGAAAATAATAAATAAAATGAAAGAAATAAAAGAAAAATGGGATGACATAAGCGGGAAAAAATAAAGTCACCAACAACTTTCTAACAGTGAAGTATGCGAGAGACATTATGAAACAAAATTTATCCTTACATTTTTCTTTGAGTCGTAACGTCACCGTGCTCCTTGTGTTTCCCATTTCATTCATCGCTACACATGAGAAACTTGACTGCAAATCTGTATGTTCTATATTACTGATGGTCAAAGTTGCCTCTCCATAGTACTCTTGGTGCTGTCCTTCAAAACTAACATGAGAGAAAAAGAAGTGGTACTGGTTGCTGTTAAGAATAATTTGCACAGAAAGAAAAGGTCATTACATATTATATGCACTTACTAAATAATTTCTTGATGAATTTTTCCTTCATCTGCATATTCTGCTGGCATCTCATTCACATCCCATGTGACAACAGCTATAGGCTGTTTCTTAATCCCCAACCGGGCCTGACATTTCAGAGAAAAAGCAGCACCTAATCAAGATTGATGAAAAAAAAGAATAAATTTATTTTTCTCATAGTACCTTTTTCTACAAATCTTCATACCACTTTTGAGTTTTGCCTTAGCAATTTAGGCACTTCCTGAGTTAAAGCGCAGATCATGATTCACGGGAGTGTCTTGAAAAGACATAATAAAAGGATATTTGAACAAAATATCTAATACATTAACAGAGACTACAAAATAAATTATTTATATATAAAGCTCTGAAGGGAAAACAGACATTACTTGTGATGCTATTGTAATCAGCTATTGTAATCAGCTATTGAGGAATATGGGAAATAAATGCTGTCTTGCATATAGGCATACATGGAAATAGTGTAATATAATTTTCAATATACAGTATTTATCATAAATTGTATTTGCAGATTCTTATCTTGGATTTTATTCAAGCTGGAAAAACTAGAGAAAAACAGGATAAAATTAAAACAGGAAATTCTTCTTATGCATTTGTTATCAGGAAATATTTATTCCAGAAATAAGAGTCACTGTTGCAGTGAAATAAATATAATTAAAACAATTTAAAGATTTCCACATTAGTACGCATCAAAACAGGGCTTAGATAAGGTTAAAAAAATCTTATGATTTACATCCTGAATTGGTATTAGGGAGTGTGGAGAAATCCCTTCAATTCTGCAAACAGAAGACAACAGAAGTGATACAGTGTTTTCTAAACTTAAAGTACGTTTGTACCATGCATTTTGAGGTTAATTACTTTCCCAGAAAGGCAGGGCATTAAAGACTAGCTATCTCATTAAGGAGAGAGGTGCCTGGCACACTAATTCTGAGTGATAGAGAAACTGCAGGAAAGAAAAAAAAGAACAGGAATGTGTTTCTATGCGGAAGTGTTTGGGCCCGGAGTCTAGTGGTACAAGTTATGAGGAATCAATCTGAACCTCTGAGAACATCTATAGTCTTAAACGAAAGGAAGCCCTGGTGCATGTTCCAGAACACCGAGGGCTGTTCAGCCCTCTATCTGTTGCTTCAATCCCTATCCTTTCATTCCAACAAGTATCTTCCAACCAGAGCAATCCACTCAGTGCCTGCCAGCACAGGCAGGACCAGCAAGCAGTCCCTTGCTTTCCTTCATTCATCAACAGAGATGCAGCTGTTGCGTCTGGACCAAAATCACGAGCAAGAAGTATTTCTATTTGCAAGAATAGTTCATTCTTCCCTCTTAAGTGTATTATCAGGAAGTTTCAAAGGATTTAGTTACAGCCCTCTTTGAAGTGGATGGAAGCTGTCACGCTTTCAGTTGATATGTGGTAACTGACCATATGAGTAATCCCAGTTTATCCCTGTCAAAGTAGAATAGGTTATTTAAACTTTTAAATTGCTGCTTAATTTCTAAATAGCCTATCATTTAGATATAACTTCATATTGTTATGCCTGGAATTAATTAAATCTTGTAAAATTTGTAGTGCAAAAATGTAATTAATCTTCTCCCTGAAGCTGCCGATTATCGTTAGGTCACCACAAAATGCTGGTTTAAAAACAATGGAAAATCTTTACTTACCAAGCTCCGCTTCTATTACATCTTCATCTTTTGGAAATAAAATTTGAACAGGTAGAGATGAGTGCTTTGCTTTAGAGATTAAGGAGAGAAAGGAAGGATGTATTAGAAAATTGTGAAAATACATTTTATGAAGTAATGAAATTGTATCAGTTTGCTATGACAGTTGAACATCCCTTGTTGTTAGTGTTCAGAAGGAACATCTCCTTCAATATATCTGCATTTCATCTCTGGTAATTATTGGTATAGACAGGTCTAAGCTACACTGAAACATTTGGTTTGACTGAAGGATCTATTCCCTTTGTTGCATCTTTCCTTGCTATTCAGACAAACTCCCATTTCCCAGTCGAAGCACATTGCTTGCTATTCTTCCCATCAAGACACTTCTGTGAATCTCATAACCACAATTCCCTATAAAATATTGAGGAACTTATTTAACTCCCGTTTCCCAGGCTGCTATAAAATCCACTCTCTTTATCTATCCTGTGTCTAATTGTCAGTCAAGCTGGATCTTGAAGAAAAAAAAAGCCAGAGAAAGACAGTAATTTTCTAACTCTCTGACACTGCTATGATTTTAGCTGCCAGCATGCAGATGCAGAATGTCCACTAAATTGGTGTGGATTTGCAGACCAGCAGGGGCACACATAAGAAAATATTGACAACATGTAACAATTTATTCATCCAGCAAATTTATTTTAAGGGCTAATGAAATCTCAAAGAAGTTATTGTTAGGTTTTCTGAGTGCTAAAAAGTGGTGCTGACTCAATTCACCCAGTTGAGATTTCACATGCTATGTTGCAATCCTTTCTTTCTGTGGAACGATTGAAAAATAATCAAATTAGCTTTGAAATGAAGTAATCTGCCTGGATGCAAGAAAGAATTCTGTAATTTTGGATAGCTGTGTGCCAAGTAAATAAGAGTTATTTCCATTATAAACCAGAGTGAAAAAAATTTGGACTAGTTAGAAAAGTTTTGATGAAAGCATATTCAAAGAAAAATGCAATGTGAAGAAGAGATTTTCATGTTGACCAACAGGGTATTTATCAGACAGAACTGGGGGAGGAAAGGCACGATATCTCCTAAGCTAATGTACTAGTTCTCCCTTCAGATCTCAATTCTGATCAGCTCAGAATAGCAAGAACGTACTTTTCTACTGAGGATCAGGGCAAAAACTGTAATTGAAGTTCCACAGAGCTCGGCACAGTTTCCCACAGCAAAATGTTCTGATGTCAGACCATGAATGAACTACATCTATTTTTCAAAGAAAGCAAACAAGCAAATAAAAAAACCTGTTTTTTTGTTGACCTGATTGCACAACTGAAGAACATCTTGAAGTCTGGTCAGCTGATACAATCCAGAACTGATGATTACTGGCATGTTCTTGCTCTGACTAACACCAAAAGACAAGGCCTCCCTAAGGACGCTGAATCCCAGAAGCAGCCCAAAATCTAGACATCTCAGCCATGTTGGTCACTTTCACATGAACAAAGATTACAGTGATTAGTGGGCTCCATTCATTTTTGTCTGTGTTCATCATTCATTTTGTCTCAGTCAACAGAAATCCAAAAGTTTTTTAACCAAGATGGACCAGCAGGTGTTGAGTTGTATGCCATCTGCACAACAGCAATCCAGTGATTATCAGAAGATCCTACAGGCCCTTCCCTCATCAAAGCAATAGAAAATGAATTTTTGTAGCACACTTTGAAACAGCCCCTTCACATCAACAATACATGCTATCAGTCAGTCCTACCAACCACAATATGCAACCAGGGTCATTGGAGACTATTACTGAAAGGCTGAATGTGGTTGGGTCTGAATGTAGTTCCATCTTGCTCTATTTGGATCCCCACCCACAAAATTCACCTAAAAAAATGTTGATCTAAAGTTTCATCAAAATACAGTAAGTTAACAGAAAATATTTTTCTTTTTAATGCGCAAAAGTTTCCTTTTCTTTAAGGGGACATAAATCTTTGTCATTTTAGCAAGTCTTACCTTCACTTATAAAGATCCTTGTTGCTGATACATTGAACACCTTTCCTCTGTGAGTATAAATAAACTGACAAGTATAATAACCATCGTCCTCTTTATTCAGGTTTTCAATGAAAATATAAGGATCATGCATGAAATATCTTTCTCCCTGTAGAGGTCTGCAGTCCTGGAAAATAAAGCTCTCTTTGGCTCATTGCAAATAGCTCCCACAGTGATCTGATCTACAGCTGGCACCGTCATTGATTAATTTACCTTATACCACTGGATGATAGTAGCGTTCTCATAATTCTTAAATGTAGGACAAGAAATTTTTCCTTTTCTAGTTTCATTTGCATAAAGTATCCGGCTTGGGAAACACATTCCTTGTTTGTATGGATGCACCTGAACATTCATTTTGCGCCCTTTTTTGCTCCCATCTGGACTTCAGAAATTGAATAAAGATCATTCAATGACAACATTATTACAGGGACTAAAATGAATACTTGTAGCAAATGTGAGTCTTGTTTTAAAAACAACTGGATGGTTGCTGTATTTCAGTTACATGTTCTTATAAAGGTCTGCTACAAAAATAATAAAAACAAACTTTTGCATACGAAAGTTGCAGAATGGAGGTTAAATAAATTGGTGTACATCAAATGACATCATTTCCACAGATAACAATTAAAATGCATTTTTAAAACACGTATGATTTTTTTCCAACTCTAATTTTTTTCTCTTTCCTATATTGCACTTACTAATTTATAAGACAAGTGTAGTTTCCAGAATCCTCTAAAGAAGTTGGCAGAAACCAAAGAAGCAGTTCTTTTGAAAATACTCGTGATCCCTCTTCCTCTTCAGGAATTCTTTTCCTTGTGTCTGTGTGATACCAGGTGACTTTTGCAGATAAATCATTTTCAGGACATCTTACAACTAAAGCCTCACCTTCAATTGCATCATCTGCAAATGACCAAAAGATAAAAATCTCAGGTGAATTAAGCCTTAGACTCACTGAAGATAGAGAAGAATTTGGCATTTCTAGATCAGTAGGCCAGTCATGTGCCCCTGCCTTCCATCCTCAACCTTTCAGAGAAAATGTAAAGCAAATTGATTCCTGGTATATTCAGTTTGTTTTGTTGTTTTTCTTTTTTGTTTGTTCGTTTGTTTATTTCAGGGAGATTTTGCTCTGTTTTCAATGCAGAGAAATGAGATATAGAGAATTTTTATGTACTTTTAATGGAAGAAAAGAACTACTGGCAGGAGGAAGGTTGTAGATAAGATTGTTACTAAAGGAAATCCAGAAGATCTTGTCTGCAGTGTTCAATGCGAAACAAAATAAAAAACTAACAGAAAGGATCTGATGGAAAGTTGAAAAGCCATCAGAAAGGAATGAGAGAAATCAGGGACGCAGAAAATCAAATCACACACACAAAAGGAAAAGAAAGGATGGAATTGAGAGAGAGGAATTAAAACTTTTTTTTTTTTTTTTAATATAAGTGAATGTAATACTGAAATGATCTGGAGAAACTTGAAACAGGCAATTTTGACAGAGATTTAAGTGTTGTGGTACCTGAGCAGTGAACTGGCTGCTGAAAATAAAAACTTCAGTCTGAAAGTCAAATTCTATTTTGGAGAAGATTAAAAAAGAGAAAACTGAGGAGGATGAAAACTGGATAGGACAGCACAGGAGTTACAAAAGATAAGGGAATAAGAAAATGAGATCAGGTGAACCAAATAGCCAATGGAAATATCAAAAATGACATTTTGGAGGCATATTGCCACCACCTGGCTTCAGGCATGTGGTATGCAGATCAGGTGGTGAGTATCTCTGCATGGTTAACACTTGTGTCCTGGTTCTTTCTGAAGAGATCCTTCTCCACTGACATTACATATAGCCTTACAGACCCATATAAATTGCCCACATCAGGTATAAGTATGCATGAGCTCATCATTCTATCCGAATTCCCTCCCATGAGTCCTGCATTGCCCCAAAGGAGCAACGCAATGGAAATACAGTACTCCTCAGGAAAAAATAGAAGAGGAGGAGGAACACAGAGAAGATGAGAGGCCTAATCTAAACATGGCAATGTCAGTGAAAATTATCTTGGTGAATTCTTCAGCAGAATTAAGCCTCTCAGTAAATCAAATTAGCATTCATTCTGTAAAACTGGGAGTACAAGGAAATATTTAGAGATAACATCTTTCTACATTTCTCAGACAATGCAGCTCATCTGGAAACTAGTACTACATGAGTGCTGTACAATGCAGTGTCACTGGTAGGAAATGATTGCAGGGTCAGCAGAGCTGCTGCAACAGAGTGCACTTGTGAACCATCTCGCTCAATGCAATTTAAGTACGCTTGCTCTTGGGGATTTTGCCCAGGTGGAGCCAGGAACAGAAGCTACTCCCAAATTCTCTCAAAGAGGCTTTTTCTTCTGCCTGCAGAGATGCCTAGAGCAGAAATAGAGCCTGGATTTAATGTCTAAAAAATGGACGGCACTCAGTGCATTTTAACACAAGGAGAAACAGCAACACTGAAGAGCCAACTTCCACGCTGTGATACATGGCTTGAGATAAACTAGCCAATTGCAGTTAAAAAAAAATAATCAGGGTTAGTTTGCTGAATAAAATTTATCAGAAAGAATATTTTAAATCTGACTTACATGATTCTGATATCACGGAAGCCGGGAGGAAGATAGATAGGAACATCAAATGTACAAACACCATCATATTTCTAAGTGGAAAAAAAAAAACACCAAAAAAAATAGACTATCAGAATATACTACTGATGTACATCTATAAGCAGACAACATCATCATGCAGAGATAAGCTGAGTCACGTGGGCTGCTCTGTGCAGAATGTATGTGTGGGTGAGTGGCAGCCCTTCTGCAGCTTTGAGATGATGCTCTTAGTTCCACGGTCAATGCAATAACTGATGCAACATTAAAACTCGTGCTATGCCTTCATTCGATTTAAGGGTGGGGAAATTTCTCTTCCATGGTGGGCCTCAGATAGAGGCCTCTTCTTTCTTGGTTGTTTCTGTTTCTTTTGTTTTTCAGGAAGGTAGATGTATTATGACATTGTCTTCACTGTCAATAATGAAAAATTGTACCTTAATCTAGAAAAGGACATATTTTGGATTTGAAAATACATACCTTGGTTGTGAATTAAGCTTTCACCCAATCTAGTGTGTGGATGTATACCACCTTCTTTCTTTTGGAAAGTGGAAGTGAAGGTACCTTCAATGACAGCTCCTCACAGGTAAGTGCTTAGTGGCAAGAATGGAAGCAGATGAGCATCATCAACAGTGCAAACCCAAAGGGGAAAGTGAAGAAATGGACTGAAGGGTAGGTAAAGGAATGTACATTGCCCTCGTACAGTAGTAGTAGGACAGATTCTAGGACCCACTGATGTTTTCATTTGTGTTTAATTGACATGCACTGCTGTATCTAGCACCTGGGAGTGTGGCTCAGGCACACTGCAGCAAGCCACTGTATCAAGGCTACCAGCTATTGATTTATGGACATTGGTCTGGATGTATTCTGTGAATATGTCAAGAGACAGTAGATAAGCAATACACATATATTAAGGAGTCCTAAACACTTTACCATCAACAGAGCCTTCTCCTAAATGCTGTCTTTGCTTGCAGATTACAGAGCAGTGTCTGTTGCTATCAGAGGAGGAAGGGGTGATCCCACAGTGCTACAGACAGCAAATAAGTTGTCAAGAGAAAGCAAATTAGCAGTGAATTGTTATCTGTACTGCAGATAGCAAGCACAGGAGGAGTTGTGAAAAATAGGCAAAAAATGTGCAGGCAGGATAAGTACGCCGTCACACTTATTGCAAGGAATTTTATTTCGGTGCCAAAGATTTCCAGACTAAACAAACATTGAGAGGTCTACATCTGTGCCAAGTCTGAAATTCATAACAAACTCAAATTTGTGCTTTCTGAAACATCATTCACTTTGTACTGATCTGGAAAGCTTCTTTTAGAAGGTTTGATAAACATCCTCTAATAAAACTCAGTGTTGGGAGAAAAAAGCATGAGTGTTTCAGTGTAGGTATTTGCAAGGTTCATGGAAAATGTGAAGTTTAGACCTGAAAAATCCAGCATCCCAGTAAGGCTGTTGACATGGGAAATGAATGACCACCCAGGACCTCCAAGAAACAATCTGTGTGAATATCTGCTCAGTTCCATTGGACCTGGAGTAAAGCACTGCATCCAAAAACGTGCAGGCTACCGACTTATTTAATCTTAAGAAAATCTTAGACCAGCTTCATAGATATTTAGAATTACTTTTCAGCATAACAAACATCAGCAGCTCTGTCCTGGAAGGAATTAACAAGTTGGCCCAGGAGAGGGTTCAGTGTGAGCTGGGCCTTTGTGTGACCCAGGATACAGAGAAAATTAGTACACAGGAAAGCCCACAGCAAGAGCACAGTAAAGCATTTAGAGCAGAAGTTTTGTTTAGAGAACTTATTTCTCACACTACCAAGGAGCAAACTAGACTGGCAAGTGGGAACAGGAAGCTGATTTTCATGTTATAAGCCAGGATCGGGATTTATTAAGCAAATAAATTTTTGCCAATAGTTCTGTTGATCTCAAGTATAACCAAATAGCCCAGTTTTAAAGGAGAATGAAGAATCACCTTGTTGTGTTAGAAGTAGCAGTCTATCAGGCTTAGCTCCTTGCTCCTCCAGAGGGAACTGCTCTAGAAACATTTCATGATATTTTTTCCAAAAGTGGATTTGCCAACAAACTGTAATGCTGTTCATGTAAGTCTATGGACATAGCAAAAGTACCATGTCTTGCATACCAACAAAAATTGAAAATGCTTTTGCAATTTCTAATTTAGAAAGTTTGACATGCTTTACAACATAAAAATACCATGAAATAATAACTGTGTGGGATGATACATTCACAGAGACTTCCCTCATTCATACTTTGAAAGATATTTCATCTCTCATCAAACCAGAGAACACATTCTGACTGGAAATGAGCCACTAAAATAGTAACAGTAACTCTGATGTGATTGCAGAACAGTCACAGCAGTTGACACCTACAATAATTAAAGCTATAATCATAAAATTTAGGAAATTCAGTATTAAAATACAGCAATGGTTGCATTCATTTATAACTTATTTTTAGAAAATATTTTGAAGGAAGAAAGTACATAAATACACTAAATTGCATAGCAACTATTTTCTGGTTTTGAATAACTAACAAAATTATCTGCCAGAAAACTGAAGACAAACACATTTCTAAATACACTTCATTATGGATAAGTCCATATGTTGTTAATGTTGGATCCAAAATTATTTGTCTATCACATCAGCATATCCTATATTTGAATCTAATATTTTTTCTTGAGATAAAGAAGCACATAAGCGAACTGAAATAAAGTTTCTTACAAAATTCTAGACAGAGTTTCCAGCAGCATCAGTTATTATTCGCTGAATGATAAAATATTTGACCTACCTTCTGGAAATTCACACAGTAGAGAAGTGCTTTGCTCTGACCTGAGTCCTTTACTTGTACCAGATTACTGGGAATGCTTTTTAACTGGCTTCTGCAATGCATATCTGGAGGAGCAGAATTTATAGCAGCATTTGAGACACCTCCCACTGAACAGAACAGAACTTGCAAATGGCTGTAATAGCTTTCAGTGCATATCAGAGAGGGGATCTCCTAGTTCCTATCATTCAGATGTCTTTTGCCAAGGGCATCGGCTTTCTGTTAATCACAGACTATGCCACTTTATCTTGATCGTACTGCAATAAACCTGCTGACTAATTCCTGGCTATCTCACACGCCTGGGGAGAGCAAAGAAGTAGCCCTCAGCCGGCAGAGGGTGCTTTGGAACAGGTTTTGCCTGAAAACAAGTGGCAGCCTTGCTGGGGCAGCACTCCTGCAGTACAGCTGTACACATCGTTGAGGCACTGGGAATGGTTTTTAGTGATGGACACTGTCTCACTAAAGCTAAACTGATAAAAGAAGGGCCCTGAGAAAGCAGATGTCTGCACCAACGGATAGATTAGGTCTCTGAGGAAAAGAAGGCTCAAAGAGCAGAGACTTGAAATCCAGGAGAAGCTCTGGAAAAGGATGCAGGAGTGGGAGAAGTCTCTACAGGTATGACAGTGGCCCAATGCTCTGTGAAAAAGCAAAATTCCTGAGGACAAATCAGCTTTGTACATCATAGAACTATTCCTAAAAACACTCTGAGAATCAGTGCTTCATTCTTCCTTGACAGAGTTGCTGATACTCTTCGCTACTTTCAGTGTTTCTGAGAACTTGGTATGAGCTGCAGTCACAGCAGTCAGCACACAGCAACGCTCAGCAATATGTGAAGATGTGGTAATTACATGCCACCAGGAAAAAATCTCGCCTCTGTCATATCCACATTCTCCCCAGCTCTCGGTACATCCCTTCCTTTGAAGTGGTCTCGGGGGTTGTACTTTCTCTATAAAACAGAAAATGAAGAGTGTCACATGAACACCCTACCACAATAAAATATCACATTGCTTTGGTCAACCACTCAGCTCAAATGGTAGCTTGAAAAGCTGGTGACAACTCCTTGCTAAGATTCAAGAAGTTTCATCAGCATGAAGGCCTTCCTCATTTCCTGAAGCTATTCGCTAGAGACAGGCAAGAAATGTGTGGTATACCATCTACATTCAGTTGAAGATTCAAGGACTTTTCAGCTCTTCATGCTGTCCTGCCAGTAAGGAGCACAGAACCATAGAACCATTAAGACATCCAAGATCATCTAGCTCAACTGTCAGCCCATCCTCATCATGCCCTCTGACCATGTCCCTCAGTCCACATCCACACAGTTCTTGAACACCTCCAGGGACAGTGATTCCACCACCTCCCTGGGCAGCCTGTGCCATTGCCTCACAACTCTTCCTGGAAAAAGATGTTTCCTAATCTCATAGAATCATAAAGTGGCCTGGGTTGAAAAGGACCACAATGATCATCGAGTTTCAACCCCCCTGCTATTTGCAGGGTCACCAACCACTAAACCAGGCTCCACAGAGCCACATCCAGCTTGACCTTGAATGTCCAACCTGAACCTCCCTAGCATAACATGAGGCCGTTACCTCCTGTCCTGTCGCTGTTACCTGAGAGAAGAGGCAGACCTCAACCTCGCCACAACCTCCTTTCAGGTCGCTGTAGAGAGGAATGAGGTCTCTCCTGTGCCTCTGCTTCTCCAGTCTGGAAATCCCAGTTCCTTCCACCAATCCTCGTAAGGCTTATGCTCCAGATCTTACAGCCAAACTGAGCAAAGAGAGCAGCTGGACACACGGGAGTTGGCGGTTGCTGATCAAGGACTTGCTGGACATCAGTCAGTTGTGGTAAGCAGCTGTGTTGTGCACCACTTGTTTTGTTTTGCTTTCCTTCTTATTAAACTATCTCAATGGTCCACATGGGTTCTTTCCAACTCAAAGTGTTCTATGATTCTATTTTGGGTAGTCCTGTGTGGAGGCAGGAGTTGGACTCGATCCTCATGAGTCTATGATTCCATGGTCTCAAACCACGATTTTTGACATTTTTTTTATTTTTTTCAATTCTCTCCCCCATCCTGCTGATGTGAGTGGGATGTGAGCAAGAAGCTGCGTGGTGCTGAGATGCCTGCCAGGTCAAACTACGACACACAACGTCTGAAAAATTCCAATTTGATAAGCATATAAAAAAAAAGTGCACTTACAGAATCATAGCAAGAAATTTTCTTGATGAGTTAGCTGCATTGCACTCCCTTAGTAGCCTGTATGCATAGCAGTCCAATGAATAAGAGAGTAATCAGTGTTCCAAGAAAACAAATCAAGAAGTAATGGTCTTAATATGAAGCAGGATATAGTTAGGCAAGACAGCAGGGGAAAAAAAATAACATGAAAGGTAGCAACACTCTGGAGTATCTTGCTGGGAACCCAGTGGAGATGCCACCAGGGAAAGACCTTCCATAAAGAAAAATCTGGGACTGTAACATGGGTCTGGTTGTGTATGGCCCACAAGTCTCTACCAGCTCCAGTAGTCAATGGCCCAGAGACGCAGATGTCCATGATCCAATGGTTGGGTTTGTGCTCAGTTTAACTCAGTTGTGCATCAAAATTACTCCTGAGCTGTGTAAAGTTCACAAGCAAATGCCACTCTAGATAAGAAAAGTGAAAATACAGTTGAAGTTACGTTTTTGAGATGAATAGAAACAGTTATGAGCTCAAGAGGTCAAAAGGAAAAAAACGCTGACATGAGAAAGATAAAATACTGAGATAAAAAGCAGATATGGGTAAACAGCAACTCTGCAACATCAACATTTGCCTTGAGCCAAGAAGGAGTGCTTAGACAAGCAGCTTAGTCTTATACCTGTCCTAATTCACCAGGAAATAATAACTGTTCACTTGTTGCTGCTTGTCTTTTTTTACATCTTGCTAACAGACTGTCAGTGAACACTGTAGAGTCTGGATAGAGGTGACCCTGGCAGAGAAAGTTACACTGCACGCAGTTCTTGGGGCCAACCCAGGAAGCTCTAGTGGAGTCAATAAGTGACTAAACAGCAAGGGAAACCAGTGACAGGTTTGACCATGCCCACAGTGTGTCTAATGTCACTTAGCTGGTGGGAATACACCTTATGGAGGGTGCAGCATCCTTCCTGTGCGTGTGTGTTGGGCTAGCATGTGCATGTGGTTGTTCCACCCTGCTGGGCAGTTGGACTCTGCCACATTGCTTTCACACTCCCTCTTAGCAAAAGAACAGGGTGGGGGAAAATAAAATGGAAAAAGGACCATGGGTTGAGTTAAGGACAGGAAGATTGCTCATCAATTAGTGTCACAGGCTAAAGAGACTCAGTATAGAGATATTAATGTAATTTATTGCCTATTACTAACAGACTAGAGCAGAGAAAAACTAAAAGCAAAGTAAAAATACCTTCTGCTCGTCCATCCTGCACTGTGTCCTTCCTCTGGGCAGCACAGGAGAATGGGATCTGCGATGAGACCGTGATGCTTCATTCATTCATGCTGCTCCTCCATCGACACTCTCTGCCCTTGCTCCATGAGGGTCCCTCCCACAATGCTGTCTTTCCTGAACTGAATTCTGTGGGCTTCCCACAGGCTACAGTTCTCCCAGAACTGCCCCAAAACGGCTCCATACAGTGGGACCAACCCTAGCACTGCTCCACATGGGCCTGTGTGGGCAGCAGCTCCCTCAGCCTTTCTGCCCCACTGTGGGATCTTCTCTCCTGGGGCCTAGCTTGTGTATCAAAATTCAAAGGATACAAAATGCAGGTGAGAGTATCTTGAAGGAGGCAATTGTCCAGTAGTTAAATGTACCTTCTGTAATGCTGACATGTATTTGCTGTTGGGTTGCACGATGATAAGTTACTTGGAAAGTCCTTTCATCACCTATTGTTTCTAGAGTATCTTGACTATGGTAGTCAAGATACATTTGTCAGGCCACAGTGACATTATTCAAACAAAAATATTAACACCAACACCAAAATCTCAGCACCTTAAAAACGGATTCCCTTTCCAGCAAAGTACTCAATTCCTCTGCTGCACGCTTTGCCCTAAAAGGAAAACAGCTGAGCTGCCATTCTAAGGAGGCTGAATACAGCAAAGTCAGAATGAAAGTAGCAGCAGATGTTCTGAATGCGACCAGGCCACCAGCAGGGTTGCCGTAGTGTGACCACAAACTGGACAGAGTGCTGCTCCAGTACTTCTGTTGCTTGTATGGAAATAAAAACACTTCACTGAGCCCCTGGGATCTTCCATTCCCACTGGCGATCTTGTCAAGCTGCCTTGGATGCCAGACAGGACAGAGATAAAAGTGAGACTGAGCAGACAAACATTTGGGCAAGAAACCTATCTAAAGCTTATCTACAAAAGAAAAGTGGAATAAATCCTCCATTCTGTGTCCAAATAATTACAGAAAACTTGTCCAAAGTAAAGACTACACATGTCCAAGTCAAAGTTTCCAATTTTAAGTTAAAGATCTTTATATGCAAGAGGTCATTGCTTGGTACAACAGCAATGCTAACCTCCTGTGCAGCATTCATTCTATTTCACATTACTGAAATCAAACATTATTAATATATTGTTGTTTATGTCTGACTACTTCACTGAGAACAAGAAGTTTTTCTACTATTTCTTAGGAATAAACTTCTATAAATACCTAAAATTCTTGAAATCATAAGTTGGTTGGGAAAGACACAATTCTTGCTAATTTACTGGACTAAGACAAAATGAGATTCTCTGAAGAGCCATTCAAGATAATTTGCTGACAGAGGATATAGTTTATAGTGACTTTGTACTAAACAGCCTTGTTGGTTCCTGAATGTATATGAATTACTGGAAGCGAACGTCTCACTGATAAAAGAAGGTCATGACATATTGACAGCATGTAGGAGCAGAGGTTTAGTCTTAATGATTATTTATATTATTTATAGTATCACTATTTAACAAAACGCTTTTTCAGAAGAACATTTTTCATAAGAATTAGCTCACTGAGTTTACCATCAGATCTGGCAGAAACCTGGAGTTTGCAGTCTCTAAAATTCCTAAGCATTTTTGGAAAGAAATCAATTTAAAAAAAAAATATTCTGAATATTCCTTGTGAAAAAAAAAATGTCACAGAACTCCTTTTCTTCTGGAATTAAAAACAAAACAAAACAAAACAAAAACAAAAACAAACAAAAACAATTTTTTTTTCTATTATTATTCAATTACTATTATTATTATTTTTTAAATGAAGCAGTTGGGTGAACATCATCAGCTATTGTTCAGAAATTCATCACTACTCCTTAGACCACCTATCA